GTTTAAATACTGCATAGCGCAAGTGATGTGTGGTTATGGAAACTCATATCAGACTGACATATATTTTTTTATTTACATCTGGGGCTGAATCCCCAGAAGCCCAGGTCTAATGACGCCACTGTCTGTGTATCTAGTCTGTCAAAAACCACATGAAGAAGAAAAAGATAGACCTTATGACAGACTGCACCAAAGATTTGTATAACTAACCCAAGATAGACCAACGCCTGTCATTTCCAATGGGAGCAAATTAATCATAGTGTGCAGAACAAGCAACGAGGTGGGCAGATCCAAGCACAAGCTAGTGAGATCCTATTGGCTCATTCTAACGTTTGCATATTTCCGTTAGGGAATGCCTACTCAATTCGCCCTTGCACTCCTTCTAAACAACGCTATTTATTTATTTTACTTTGGCAAAGGGTAAAGTCTACTAAACTTAGTCTACTCTGTTGGTAACAGATTTTAGTTTTGGGAACAGAAAACTACATTGAGATCAAATGTTGGCCAAAATCCATCTTGCTCCAGCTTCTCCCACTGCCAGCCACTGGGCTTCCTCTCATCACCATATTTGGTGGTGAGTGGAACCTCCGTTCTGCCAACAAGAATAAGCAAGACCTAGCAAGAATAAGGTTGTGACCGTGGCGATTTCCCTTCAAAACAAAAGTCCCTCAGTGAAGATGGTAAAAAGTAATACAAATGGTCGAAATTCGTGACATTATATGTGAAAATGTTAGCAGACTTAGAATTTTGTTTAACCAGTGGAGGCTGCTGAGGGGAGAACGGCTCATAATAATGGCTGTAATGGATCAATGGAATGGTATCAAACACATCAAACGTGGTTTCCATGTGGTTGATACCACTCCATTGACTACATTCCAGCAATTATTATGAGATGTCCTCCCCTCAGCAGCCTCCACTGTGTTTAACAATATGAAAAAAGGGGGAAAAAATAATTGCCTTTATAGCACAAATAGCATTATAGCATTTACATTATTGTTAGCAGTAATTAAATTAATGATTACTAGATGGTTATCATCATGGTAACAACAGTAATACAAATAACCAGTGCTTGACTTGGGCAGGAGCTCACCGGAGCTGTGCCAGGCACCTCAAATGTTCTACTGCTTGAGCTCCTGTTCCTCTTATGTAAGGGATAATCAACAAGGCACTATACGTTCTATGGAAAATAATGAATGACGTGGAAGGTGTGTTCAGATATTTGCATTATTTTCCAGAGAACAATGACATGGTATAAATCATATTAGCTTAAAAGTATTGTGGAGCTCCTGCACCTAAATATAAACAGTACTGGCATCCAAAATGAGTACCGGCACCTATTTCAGTCCAAGTCCTGCAAATAACAAAACATTATTGCTAATACTACTGTTAATAATAATAGTAATAACAATATAAATACTTTATTCATAACTAATACCACAAGGAAGTTCATTAATCGAATACTTTTAGTGAAATTGATAATCAACAGCAGGGGCACAACTTTCACTGGGGATGGGGGCATGTCCCCCCCACATGTTGAAATTGCATTTTTGTCCCCCCCAGCTTTATCATTGGAATGTGATACAAAAAGCGGAAAAGGTATCTTTAGGACCATGCGGACGCCTCCGAGCGGTGGGGTAGACTGTTTGGAGTGTTTTCCCATGCTGGATTTAGGACCACGCGGACCCCACAGAGCGGGCTGACAAGCTGGCTGGACCAGCACAGGAGAGTTGAACATAGGCCATCTGGTCCCGCAGGCATCCCGCGGGAATGCAACCCTCTAGTGCAGTCAGTACATAACACTATGCTCATCATGTCTTAGCAGGATCAGATGGTGTCAGGGGACCCAGCAGGGTCAGACAGCCAGGGAAGACCAGTCTACAGAGTGCAGGTGAATTTTGCAGTAAACTAACAATATCAGTGAATGATACAAAAATCCATCTTGAATTGATGGGGAGACCTACAGTAGCTACAGGACAGCAGCTTAAGGTTAAAGCTACAGTCTGGGATCTGGGAATAATGGTCATTTCAATTATTGAACCATTGATTATATTATTGGATAATATCATGTATAAATGTACAGCAAGGTAATTATTTGTCATGCCTCATTTTAGGAGGGTCAGATGGTGACAGGGGTCTCAGCAGGCTCAGGCAGCTAGGGAAGACCTGTCTGTGATGGAGGTGAGGTGAAATTTTGCAGATACAACACTTTATTCTCTCTGTGCAGCAAACACTGGACAAGCCAGATGCTATTTTAAGGCAGTCTGACAAACTTCCAAAGTTGATTTCCAAACAGTATCAAGGGTTGATAGCGGCTTTCCCTGATGACACAAACCATGTAAAACAAAAATGTGGGGAAGACTTGGGAGAAGCTATTGATGATGATGAATGGATACAGATATGTTTGAATGCCCAGGATGTTCATATAATCTCAGACATAAATTATTGCCATTTAAGGCCATCCATTGAGCGTACTATATGCCAGTGAAACTTAATTACATTCACTCAGAAATGTAATTCCTCTGCTGGAGCTGTAAAACACAAAAGGGGACATATTTGCATATCTTATGGTCTTGTGAAGGCTGGCAGAATTCTGGCAAAGAGTATGTTCTTTTATCTCAGCATGTCTACAGATTCTCCCTTCTCCCTGTTTTTGTTTGCTTGGAAATGTTGATACTGGGAGACTTATGTGAAGAAACTGTGTAACCAAGAATTTATTGCGGCTAAGAAATACATTGCCATTAATTGGAAGGTTGGCTATCCTCCCACAATGTCAAGTTATGTATCACTAGATTTTATTTATTACAAGATTGAGGGTACACTGGGCAACTTTCATAAGGTCTGGATGCCTTATATGGAATAAAGTACGACTAAAGGAGACTGTATTAAAAAAACATGCCCACGTCAGGGGAGATACCTATTTAGGCAATCCCTAGCTGCTAGGCTGCTCAGTCCTGGCCCTGGGGGTCTGCCGTCCTGTGTGTTGTCACTCTGGCCTTGGCCTAACACACCAAAATCAATAATGAATGTTTCACTAAGATCCTAAAGCTGAGTGGGGTGTGTTGAGTTGGGGCGCTGCAGGGTGGTGGACCCCTGGGGACAGGACGGGGCAACCCAGCTATATTGTGTGCAAGTAAAAAGAGCTCTACAGTACTATTAGTCCTATGAGATTAATTATATGGAGGAATTGCTGTTTCTGTGTGTTAATGTGTATGTGTTTTTATTTATTATTATTTATTTATTTTACCTTTCAGTTGGGAAGTATAACAATTAAATGTGTGAACTGGGAAGGAAATTGTGTTGGGAGAGAGTTGAGTTATTGACTAGATTGGTGTGGGTTGGGCATGCAGGTGGCTCGGGCTGGCTGGTCGGTCTGGCTGAAATGTGATATAGAGGATGTCTTAATAAAGTCTTTGTATTTTTTCAAGAGTTGTTCATTTGTTAGGCTATTGGTTAAAGGTGCAACACAATATGTATTAATGAATTACCTTTGATATAGTTCAATCTTATTAATCACTTAAACATTTTTAATAGCTTGATGACTGTGGAATGGAAGACCCAGAGTTACCTCTGCTGCAGAGGATAAGTTCATTAGAGTTACCAGCCTCAGAAATTGCAGCCCAAATAAATGCTTCACAGAGTTCAAGTAATAATATAATAATAATATGCCATTTAGCAGACACTTTTATCCAAAGCGACTTACAGTCATGTGCGCATACATTTTTTTTAACGTATGGGTGGTCCCGGGGATCGAACCCACTACCCTGGCGTTACAAGCGCCATGCCTGTTCAGAGGGGACTGTGTGAATCAGGCCTTCATGGTTGAATTGCTGAAAAGAAACCGCTACTAAAGGACACCAATAATAAGAAGAGACCTGCTTGGGCCAAGAAACACGAGCAATGGACATTAGACCGGTGGAAATGTGTCCTTTGGTCTGGAGTCCAAACTGGCGATTTTTGGTTCCAACCGCTGTGTCTTTGTGAGACGCGGTGTGGGTGAACTGATGATCTCCGCATGTGTATTTCCCACCGTAAAGCATGGAGGAGGTGGTGTTATGGTGTGGGGGTGCTTTGCTGGTGGCACTGTCCAGGCCTCCAGGCTGTGTAAGGGCTATCTTACCAAGAAAGAGAGTGATGGAGTGCTGCGTCAGATGACTTGGCCTCCACAATCCACCGACCTCAACCCAATTGAGATGTTTGGGATGAGTCGGACCGCAGAGTGAAGGAAAAGCAGCCCAACAAGTGCTCAGCATATGTGGGAACTCCTTCAAGACTGTTGGAAAATCATTCCAGGTGAAGCTGGTATAGAGAATGCCAAGAGTGTGCAAAGCTGTCATCAAGGCGTGGCTATTTGAAGAATCTCAAATATAACATATATTTTATTTGTTTAACACGTTTTTGTTTACTACATGATTCCATATGTGTTATTTCATTCTACGATGTAAAAAATAGTCTAAAAATAAATTCAACTTGAATGAGTAGGTGTGTCCAAACTTTGACTGGTAGTGTATACATATAAAAAAATATATATAAATCACATAACATCTCATATAAATATTTAAATTATTATTTGTATGATAACTAGTATAAAATATATCGATAATTGTGCAACTTTTCCATCATTTTCACCCGAATTATTCATTTACAAAGTATACAGAACTGGACTTATTCTGAAGGAGCCCAAAAACACTTGACCCGGAAGTACTTATTTATTCTTGCCTGCTTCACAGCTGTGTGAGTGGAAATATCAACCGGATGCTTCACATTTATACATCCGGTAAAATATCTGGTTCTGTCTGTGACTGCACTGGTACAGTGCGTATCTTCCTAGGAACATGGCCGATGGTTAGTTAATGCTGGTGCTTAACCCGATGAATGAGTTAAAACTGTTTTGCTACATGAGAAGGTACAAGAAAAAGGAGTTCAAACTTGGCAAGGTGGTTAGCTAGCTAGCTACCGTCGATCGAGCAGAGGGGGTGTTGCTGGCTGGAGAAAAGGAAAACAACATGGCGGCATTGGAGCTCGAATGGATCCCAGAGACACTGTACAACACTGCTATATCAGCAGTGGTGGACAATTACAGTCGATCGCGAAGGGATATTCGATCCCTCCCTGAGAATATTCAATTTGATGTGTATTACAAGGTATGTTCATAGTCTAGTTTGCTAACTATAAAACGTGATGTTCGCGAGAAGTGACTCGTTTTAGCTAACGTTAGCTAGCAAACGCTTTGCAGAGCAAAGCAGCTGATAACTTTACTTGCTATTCTGCTAGTTAGCAAGCTTAACCATAAACCAAAGACTAACGTTACTGGATAGTCAGTTAACATGACTTAAAATTACATTTGCTGTTGATGTCCTAAATAATAGCAGATGTGCTCATGATTTTCATTGGGGTGTCTCTTCCCATCCTATGTTTGTGTGATCTGTGAAAACATTGTCTTTTGGACAGTAGCTAGTGGAGTTGTGGAACGTCGCACACTCATATTCTGTGTGTTGGAAATAATTCTCTATGACACTCCTGTCCTTTTTTGCTTTCATAACCTAATGTTTTCATGTTTCCCCAGCTGTACCAGCAGGGTCGGCTCTGCCAGCTGGGAGGGGAGTTCTGTGAGCTGGAGGTGTTTGCCAAAGTTCTACGGGCATCTGATAAAAGGTACTTGGTTGGTTCTGTATAGGTCATTATCAATAAAACGTCACAAAATGGTGCAGAGCGTTCGATTTGGCTGCTCGGGGGCAAGGAGACCCCTGTCTCTGCTAAAACCATTGACAACTGCGTGCTGTTTTCAAGGGATTGTTAAATAAATGTTATAACTAGGCCTATTTGGTTTAAATATCATCAACTCTTGAAGAGCATAGTCAGAACTACGGATTTTAGATTATTCCACATTTAGCTCTATCATCAGAGTTATACAGCAAGTAACTGCATGCTTTTCATGATCAGTAAACATCAATTGATCATGTAATTTCAGATATGTGAGGGTAGCTTATCCATTTGGCGTGTAGCTAGCTAGCTAAGCAAAGGTGTATCATTTAGCTTGCTTCATCAGAGATTATGCTTTTGGAAAGAGCTTGACATCGGCAAGTCCTCGTCCTGGTAAAGTTGTCAGTCGGACTTCTGTCATCACCACTATAGATGGCAAACAAATCAAAAAGTTTATCCCCTGAAAGTTAGCTTTTTAACTAGCCATATTGACTTGATCTGTTATTAGCTAGCTAGCCAATTTGCAAACGGACATCAATCAATGTAGCCCGTCATGTCTGTCAGCAGCAATCGTGATTAAACACTCTTAAAAACAATGTTGAAAAGGGGACAATGTTAGTTAACTTCACTAGGTAGACCTGCTTGTTGCCTTTGGAGTCCAGAGTGGACCAACTTAAACTCAATCATATGTTTGACATCTTAAATGATTGCGCCCCAGGTTTCTATACAGGGGGCCAGTATGATTTTTTTTTACTCACTAACTGTAAGTCTGCTAAATGACTAAAATGTAAATATGAAAAAACACATTGATATGGTCTATAACCAGCACAGTTACAATACCAGAGCTAGTGTTATGTCTTGTAAACAGTACTGTGAGGAGCACGTTTTTCAATACGGACATTTGTCTCCCCTTGGAGATCAAGCAAAGGAAAAGTAGAAATGGCGTTTTGAAAGATTGTTTTTTAAGGTTAGAAAATGTGTAATGATATTATATATGTTTGTTTTTTAAGGTTAGGGAAAAGTGCAATGAATAGTGCCGCTTTCTAGGATGTCAATATAAATACATTTACATTACATTTTAGTCATTTAGCAGACGCTCTTATCCAGAGCGACTTACAGAAGCAATTAGGGTTAAGTGCCTTGCTCAAGGGCACATCGACAGATTTTTCACCTAGTTGGCTCGGGGATTAGAACCAGCGACCTTTCGGTTACTGGCACAACGCTCTTACCCACTAAGCTACCTGCCGCCTGGTTGTTTGTAATTTTGGCTTGCATTTTAATAATTGTGTTATAGTTTTTACCTTTGATGACCACTTAGGAAATCATTGTTTTAAGCCTTGTTTTACTATAGAGAGTTACAGCTGATTTCGGGATTGTATTTTTAGTCTCTGAATTGTTTAATCTAACTTTTCAAGCCAGCTCCTGATATCAGGGCATAAAAACTACAATCTGTCTCCTGAATTAGTTTTTGTCCTCATTGCCAAACTTCATAATTACTGCAACTTCAACTTCAAAACTCCTTTGCTAGTTATACAATCATGTAACTAAGAAATATGCTGGAAAAGAGCGTGAAAATGATTTATTGTTTTGTTGAATGGTCATGACTGGTTATCATTGCTACTTAACGCGTATCCAAGTTGAGTTTTGAGATCCATTGGCGTAGGGTTAGCTGGATGTTTCTGACAGGTCTTGGAACTGTGACAACGGGCATCCTCTCCCCGCTTGGCTCTATGGGATATGTAGTGATTTTGCCAACACAGCCACATACACTACCGTTCAAAAGTTTGGGGTCACTTAGAAATGTCCTTGTTTTTGAAAGAAAAATAAATAAAAATTCCATTAAAATAACATCAAATTGATCAGAAATACCATGTAGACATTGTTAATGTTGTAAATGGCTATTGTAGCTGGAAACGGCAGAAAAATTATGGAATATCTACATAGGCGTACAGAGGCCCATTATCAGCAACCATCAGTCCTGTGTTCCAATGGCACGTTGTGTTTGCTAATCCAAGTTTATCATTTAAAAGGCTAATTGATCATTAGAAAACCCTTTTGCAATTATGTTAGCACAGCTGAAAACTGTTGTGCTGATTAAAGAAGAAATAAAACTGGCCTTCTTGAGACTAGTTGAGTATCTGGAGCATCAGCAATTGTGGGTTTGATTACATGCTCAAAATGCCAAAAACAAAGAACTTTCTTCTGAAACTCGTCAGTCTATTCTTGTTCTGAGAAATGAAGTCTATTCCATACAAGAAATTGCCAAGAAACTGAAGATCTCGTACAACGCTGTGTACTACTCCCTTCACAGAACAGCGCAAACTGTCTTTAACCAGAATAGAAAGAGGAGTGGGAGGCCCCGGTACACAACTGAGCAAGAGGACAAATACATAAGGGTGTCTAGTTTGAGAAACAGACGCCTCACAGGTCCTCAACTGGCAGCTTCATTAAATAGTACCCGCAAAACACCAGTCTCAACGTCAACAGTGAAGAGGCGTCTGTTGACAGAGTTGCAAAGAAAAAGCCATATCTCAGACTGGCCAATAAAAAGAAAAGATTAAGATGGGCAAAATAACACAGACACTGGACAGAGGAAGATTGGAAAAAAGTGTTATGGACAGACAAATCAAAGTTTGAGGTGTTCGGATCACAAAGAAGAACATTTGTGAGATGCAGACCAAATGAAAAGATGCTGGAGGAGTGCTTGATGCCATCTGTCAAGCATGGTGGAGGCAATGTGATGGTCTGGGGCTGCTTTGGTGGTGGTAAAGTGGGAGATTTGTACAGGGTAAAAGGGATCTTGAAGAAGGAAGGCTATCACTCCATTTTGCAACGCCATGCCATACCCTGTGGACGGCGCTTGATTGGAGCCAATTTCCTCTTACAACAGGACAATGACCCAAAGCACAGCTCCAAACTATGCAATAACTATTTAGGGAAGAAGCAGTCAGCTGGTATTCTGTCTATAATGGAGTGGCCAGCACAGTCACCGGATCTCAACCCCATTGAGCTGTTGTGGGAGCAGCTTGACCGTATGGTACGTAAGAAGTGCCCATCAAGCCAATCCAACTTGTGGGAGGTGCTTCAGGAAGCATGGGGTGACATCTCTTCAGATTACCTCAACAAATTGACAACTAGAATGCCAAAGGTCTGCAAGGCTGTAATTGCTGCAAATGGAGGATTCTTTGACGAAAGCAAAGTTTGAAGGACAAAATTATTATTTCTATTAAAAATCATTATTTCTAACCTTGTCAATGACTACATTTCCTATGCATTTTGCTATATTTCCTATTCAAACTCATTTCATGTATGTTTTCATGGAGTGATCCCAAACTTTTGAACAGTAGTGTATGTACACAGTCTTGTACCCTAAACTTTTTTTAAACTGACTATCGTATTTGTTGATTAAATCGTACTTTATTAATGTCATGAGTAATCCAGGAATGTGAAGTTAATTGACACGAAAACTCGAGAAAATAGCAACTCCACATAGCGCAATAATATTTACATAATTTAGCAGACGCTCTTATCCAGAGCGACTTACAATGAATGACTCAATTACTTCTGGACACGAAGGATCCACAGACGACCTCCTCCTCACCACTCTATGGGAATCTGGCCCCATAATCATGTGAAATAAAAGGGATCTGACAAGAGCCTTGAACCAACGTTGAATGTCCTTGTCACACATTTTGACTGATAAGTCTTTATGCTGCTGTTCTCATGTATGTTTGTATCACATCTTCATGCCCTGTCTTTGTGTGTGTGCCTGCAGACACCTCCTCCACCACTGCTTCCAGGCCCTGATGGATCATGGGGTAAAAGTCGCCTCTGTCCTGGCCAACTCCTTCAGCCGCCGCTGCTCCTACATTGCAGAGTCTGATGCCCATGTGAAAGAGAAGGCCATTCAGTTTGGCTTTATTTTAGGTAGGCACCTGCACCCATCAACTTTCCTCACCTTTCTTCAACTTTTGTGTCTGGTTGTACTAATGTTGACCCTGTCCTGTAGGTGGCTTTCTGTCTGACGCAGGCTGGTATGGTGATGCAGAGAAGGTGTTTCTGTCATGTCTGCAGCTGTGCACACTGCATGATGAGGTTCTGCACTGGTACCGTGCGGTGGAGTGCTGTGTCAGGTCAGTTGGTCACAGAGAGTTTGTATATTCCGTTCTGATTCTAGCTCTATGGCTGGTAACTCCTAGTTTGTATTTGCCCACAAAAGCTTACCAGACTCACCAGTTTCTCTTAGGTTGCTTCATGTCCGGAATGGCAACTGCAAGTACCATCTTGGTGAAGAGACTGTCAAGTTGGCCCAGCTGTACATGGACAAACTGGCCAAACATGGTCATCAGGCCAACAAAGCTGCACTCTATGGAGAGCTGTGTGCTCTGCTCTTTGCTAAGAGCCACTATGATGAGGTATGTTGCCTGGTAGAGATACTGTATATCAAAGGGTTATGTAATTTTTTTTGGTGTTCTGGTTTTTCATGTGGATGTCATCACCTATATAATGTCTTGTGCAGGCCTACAGGTGGTGCATAGAGGCAATGAAAGAGATCACAGTGGGTTTGCCTGTTAAGGTCGTGGTAGATGTCCTAAGGCAGGCCTCCAAGGTATGAGTGTTACTTTTTCCTGTGTTATAGACTATGAATGGATAAACAAATACTTTTTGAGCTGTCCCCATACTCTTCCCCTACTGTCACATGAGCCACTGTAATGCTGTGTTAGTCATACAGTGGGGGAAAAAAGTATTTAGTCAGCCACCAATTGTGCAAGTTCTCCCACTTAAAAAGATGAGAGAGGCCTGTAATTTTCATCATAGCTACACGTCAACTATGACAGACAAATCGGGGGAAAAAATCCAGAAAATCACATTGTAGGATTTTTAATGAATTTATTTGCAAATTATGGTGGAAAATAAGTATTTGGTCACCTACAAACAGGCAAGATGTGGTCCTCTGTAGCTCAGCTGGTAGAGCACGGCGCTTGTAACGCCAAGGTAGTGGGTTCGATCCCCGGGACCACCCATACACAAAAAAAAATGTATGCACGCATGACTGTAAGTCGCTTTGGATAAAAGCGTCTGCTAAATGGCATATTATTATTATTATTATAAGATTTCTGGCTCTCACAGACCTGTAACTTCTTCTTTAAGAGGCTCCTCTGTCCTCCACTCGTTACCTGTATTAATGGCACCTGTTTGAACTTGTTATAAGTATAAAAGACACCTGTCCACAACCTCAAACAGTCACACTCCAAACTCCACTATGGCCAAGACCAAAGAGCTGTCAAAGGAACCAGAAACAAAAATGTAGACCTGCACCAGGCTGGGAAGACTGAATCTGCAAAAGGTAAGCAGCTTGGTTTGAAGAAATCAACTGTGAGAGCAATTATTATGAAATGGAAGACACACAAGACCACTGATAATCTCCCTCGATCTGGGGCTCCACGCAAGATCTCACCCCGTGGGGTCAAAATGATCACAAGAACGGTGAGCAAAAATCCCAGAACCACACGGGGGGACCTAGTGAATGACCTGCAGAGAGCAGGGACCAAAGTAACAAAGCCTACCATCAGTAACACACTACGCCGCCAGGGACTCAAATTCTGCAGTGCCAGACATGTCCCCCTGCTTAAGCCAGTACATGTCCAGGCCCGTCTGAAGTTTGCTAGAGTGCATTTGGATGATCCAGAAGAGGATTGGGAGAATGTCATATGGTCAGATGAAACCAAAATAGAACTTTTTGGTAAAACTCAACTCGTCGTGTTTGGAGGACAAAGAATGCTGAGTTGCATCCAAAGAACACCATACCTACTGTGAAGCATGGGGGTGGAAACATCATGCTTTGGGGCTGTTTTTCTGCAAAGGGACCAGGACGACTGATCCGTGTAAAGGAAAGAATGAATGGGGCCATGTATCGTGAGATTTTGAGTGAAAACCTCCTTCCATCAGCAAGGTCATTGAAGATGAAACGTGGCTGGGTCTTTCAGCATGACAATGATCCCAAACACACCGCCCGGGCAACGAAGGAGTGGCTTCGTAAGAAGCATTTCAAGGTCCTGGAGTGGCCTAGCCAGTCTCCAGATCTCAACCCCATAGAAAATCTTTGGAGGGAGTTGAAAGTCCGTGTTGCCCAGCGACAGCCCCAAAACATCACTGCTCTAGAGGAGATCTGCATGGAGGAATGGGCCAAAATACCAGCAACAGTGTGTGAAGACTTACAGAAAATGTTTGACCTGTGTCATTGCCAACAAATGGTATATAACAAAGTATTGAGAAACTTTTGTTATTGACCAAATACTTATTTTCCACCATAATTTGCAAATAAATTTATCACAAATCCTACAATGTGATTTTCTTGATATTTTTTCCTCATTTTGTCTGTCATAGTTGACGTGTACATATGATGAAAATTACAGGCCTCTCTCATCTTTTTAAGTGGGAGAACTTGCACAATTGGTGGCTGACTAAATACTTTTTTCCCCCACTGTAGATGCTGCTTCAGACTGTAGTTGGCACTTAATGTGGTTTCATGCCTTCATGTGTTTGGACCTACAGGCCTGTGTGGTAAAGAGGGAGTTCAGGAAGGCAGAGCAGCTGATAAAACATGCTGTTTTCCTGGCACGGTTAGTTTCACAACACTTTTTGTTTGTGTGTTGTAGAATGTATGGGCTAGTATTTTCTGTCTCCTTCACTAATGTCTGTTTCCTTATTGTTTTGCAGTGAGCATTTTGGACACAAGCATCCCAAATATTCAGACACTCTCCTTGATTATGGGTTTTATTTGCTGAATGTGGATAACATCTGCCAATCAGTTGCAATATACCAGGTGAGAGTTAGTCTGAGATGTAGATGGACAGCAGAGAGGGGAAGTGTATCAGATGTGTGATATTGAAACTGTGTTAATATTCCAGACGGCTCTAGATATCCGGCAGTCGGTTTTCGGGGGAAAGAATATCCATGTGGCCACAGCACACGAGGACCTGGCATACTCCTCCTATGTGCATCTGTACAGCTCTGGCAAATTTGACAACGCACTGTGAGTAATCCTTTTGTCACCATAGGGCTCGGCAGTATACCATATTTTACTAAATACCGGTATTGATACACGGACCGGTTTGGGTTTTTACTTTACCTTGTATAACGGTATTTGAATGTTTGGTTTGTTAAATGTGTAATGTCCGTTTTTATAGTTTACTCCATTTGCTTCTTGAGTCGTCTCTCTCCCTCCTTCCACACACACCAAGCCCCACCTCCTGTCACTCAAGGAAAGCACTTTTTGCGCTACCACGAGTCACAACAACCACTCACAGTGACAGTCTGCATGGTCAATGCTGCTTTCCACTTTGCTTCTTTATATAAATCCACAAGCTTTCTATAATAACGCTATTAGTTTGTATCTTACTGTTTGCAAACAGCCTCTATATTCCAACTTTTGGTTAAAGTTTCATTGAACAGTATAAAACAATCAGAACATTTTTGAAAACACATCAAATGTATGTGTTGCCACCCTAGAGTCATACACTACTCATAAAGCAGATTTAGAACTTTTATTATAAAAAAAAAAAACTCAAACCATTAAAGAAATTGATAAGTATTGTAATATGATATTTTGGCCATATCGCCCAGCCCTATGTCACCATCTCTTATGACCTTAAAAATATACACCAAGGTACTTGGATTCCATTCATGTTATGTACTCTTACTTGTATTTTGACCTCTGAAGTTCATGCAGGCCATGTTTGTGCTTTAGCTACTGATGTAACTGTGTCAATTAGTTCAATTTGTTCCCCTGCTGTGCCCTCTGGGTATGTTGTGTACAGATTCCATGCAGAGCGGGCCATAGACATCATCACTCACATTCTCCCTGAGGATCATCTGCTGCTGGCCTCCTCCAAAAGAGTCAAAGGTACAAACGGCTTTCACAACTATCTGTGTACTCCTGTCCCCCAGTCTCCGTGATGGGCTCAAGGATGTCTGTGAATCTCAAAGATATCAAACACGTTCCACTGCGGTAGAGTAAATTACTGTAGAGGAGTTGTTTTATCATGGAGGTGAGGAGAGGTCTTTGTAATTTGGAGAATAAATAGATTGGATCAGTAGATATCTTTCATTTCCTAACTAACTTGATGTTCAGATGATCATCTATGACTCTGTTTCTGGCTGTGCTGTTCCCTCAGCGCTGATCCTGGAGGAGATTGCTATTGACTGCCACAACAAGGAGACAGAGGAGAGGCTGCTCCAGGATGCCCATGACCTCCACCTCTCCTCCCTCCAGCTGGCCAAGAAAGCCTTTGGGGAGTTCAATGTTCAGACAGCGAAGCACTATGGCAACCTGGGCCGCCTCTACCAGTCCATGAGGAAGTTCAAGGTCAGATTTTCCCTCCCTTTCAACCCCTGCAACAACTGTCTGTAGAAAACATGTAGAGGGTGACCTCTGACACACTGTCATCTTATGCTCCATCTGGTAAACTTCCATCCAAATGTTCTCCACAGTGTTTAGCAACCCTGTGATTTCACTTTGGGAACAGGAAGTATTACTGCACTGTTGGAGCTAGAAACACAAGCATTTCGCTACACCTGCAATAACATCTGCTAAATGTGTATGTGACCAATACAATTTGATTTGAAGTGAATCCTCTTTCTAAGGAGGCTTAAATGTTACAGGGTCTCTGGGGTTTTATGGTAGTTGAAAAGCCTTATGCAGACCACAAGGCTGTGGATGACTGTGAGGTCTCACTTAGCCTGTTTGTTTCAGGAGGCAGAGGAGATGCACATCAAGGCCATCCAGATCAAGGAGCAGCTTCTGGGTCAGGAGGACTATGAGGTGGCTCTGTCTGTGGGCCACCTGGCCTCTCTTTACAACTATGACATGAATCAGTATGAAGATGCAGAGAGGCTCTACCTGCGCTCCATTGCTATCGGTCAGTCTTCAGGCTAGATTGGAGTCTATTCTACCCTTGTGTACTCTTTTGTGATCTATTCTTCCTCATTCTCCCATTCCACATTCTTACCAGTGTGTGTGTGTGTGTTTCCTCCCTGCAGGTAAGAAGCTGTTTGGCGAGGGCTACAGTGGACTGGAATATGACTACAGGGGCCTAATTAAACTTTACAACTCTGTGGGGAACTATGAGAAAGTCTTTGAGTACCACAATATTTTATCCAATTGGAACCGGCTGAGGGACCGGCAATTTGCTGTGGCTGATGCCTTGGAGGACGTCAATACCAGCCCCCAGGCCACCGGGGAGGTGGTGCAGTCCTTCCTACGGTCACAGAACAATGGGGCCGGCCCACCTGCTTAGGCTCACCACACAGACACACACATGCCCACACACATAGAAATGCTAAAGGTGTTCACTGCTCACTTAAATGTGTTGAACACACCCTCTCTCCACATCAAGCTACATGGTTGGCCTTGCAATGGGACACCTGGCTATGGGAAAATGCACTATAATCTAGTCTTTTTGTCCTCACTTTCGCGCCCAACAGTGGGCATTCTGCTGTGACCAACCCGGTATTGAACATTTGATGGAAGGAACCTCTTGCCATCCACTTTGCATCACCTAACACCGCTTTCATCACCTTCAGTCTTCTGTAAGAGGAATTGAGAGAAGGGGGGAAATAAAACAGACATCATAGTGTGTTCTAGCTATAGAATAGAAATTGGTTTGTTTTTGGCTTCATTTTTGGTCAGAGCTTGCCCTTTTATTGACCATTGGGATGACCCCTACAAGCATGGATTGAGCACCTCTTGGCTTTTTGCTTTGGTCAATTTTAAAAGAGACAGTTACTTTTTCTGGGTGGAATCCTTATTTTATTGTTCTAATGTCATGAGGGAGTTTACAAAAGAGCTTTCATCCATGGACCAAATCTTCAGTTCTTTCTTTTTGTAACACCTGTTTCTGTCTCAATCTAAAGACGTTGGTGCAGTCTGTATGCTTGTGCTTAAAGGTTGTCAGTGATTTGAAGAATTTGAAATGCACCAGCATGTGTATTACATTTTACCACAATTGTGCTCAATAGATTTGTTGTTGGAGCACTGACGTGTAGTATATTTGAAAGTGTATGTCAGTACCTTTTTGAGGAATTAAAATGCCAAGTATTTATAAGGAATTTCATAGAGCTAAACCAAAAACAAGTGAGCTTAAACCTGCTATTCAGATCACTCCCTCCTGGTGTTCCAGTGCAAACGCCCAGAAGGAGGTCCTCTAACCTCGTCCCCAGGCTAATGAGCACAGTGCATATAAGCCTGGTACATCAACGATTCAAAGTTGGCCTTAGTGGGAGTGACCATACTGAGTAAAGTATTTGGCGTCATTTAATTTGAGCGAATCACATGACTGCGAGGCATGGATCTGTGCTTGTGGTATGCTAGCGTACGGGGGAGGGTTAGGGGGAAGGTGTTGTGGGAGATGATTGGTTGGTAGATTAAGCCTATGTGTATGGGAGTTTCTCCCAGGCATTCTGTACTGGCTAACAAAGGCCAAGTTTGACCCGTTGGACTACCAGACTCTTCAGGCATTTGGGCGGAGGTGTCTGGGAATGAGATTAGAGGTCCTCAAACACACCATTAACAATAGAATAGGCCTTGTGTTTTCATTTTAGAAACCATTTGTTTAGTGAAGGATTACCTATTTCAAAGTAAAGTAGTAAGTACCCCATTGTGTATGGAGTAGGGTAATGGAAATTATTGCCTTGCTTTTGAACAAATGCATGTCTGTAATGTTACATGTGCTGTTATGTTTCAAACTGAAGTCCAAGCCTTGCCTTAAAGGACGATCAGCCCAAGGTGCTTTTGTTCTGGTTCTTAGCATGCTTGCTTTCCAAATCCCCATACTGGAGAGAGACAGGAAGGTCATATGTTTGACATACACTATATATACAAAAGTATGTGGACACCCCTTCAAATTGGTGGATTCTGCTATTTCAGCCAAACCCATTACTGACAGGTGTATAGAATCGAGCACACAGCCATGCAATCTCCATAGACAAACATTGGCAGTAGAATGGCCTTACTGAAGAGCTCAGTGACTTTCAACTTGGCACCGTCATAGGATGCCACCTTTCCAACAAGGCAGTTCGTCAAATTTCTGCCCTGCTAGAGCTGCCCCGGTCCTCTGTAAGTGATGTTATTGTGAAGTGGAAACGTCTAGGAGCAATAACGGCTCAGCCGCGAAGTGGTAGGCCACCCAAGCTCACAGAACAGGACCACCGAGTGCTGAAGCGCGTAGCATGTACAAATCGTCTGTCATCGGTTGCAACACTCACTACCAAGTTCCAAATTGCCTCTGGAAGCAACGTCAGCACAATAACTGTTCGTCGGGAGCTTCATTAAATGGGTTTCCATGGCCGAGCAGCCGCGCACAAGCCTAAGATCACCATGCGCAATGCCAAACGTCGGCTGGAGTGGTGTAAAGCTTGCCGCTATTGGACTCTGGAGCAGTGGAAACGCGTTCTCTGGAGTGATGACTCACGCTTCACCATCGCAGTCCGACGGACGAATCTGGGTTTGGGGGATGGCAAGAGAACACAACCTTCCTGAATGCATAATGCCAACTTAAAGTTTGATGGAGGTTAATTAATTAATTTCCTTCTTAATGTGTTTCAGCCAATCAGTTGAAGGTCAATTAATACGGAACATTTCAAGAACTTTGAAAGTTTCTTCAAGTGCAGTCGCAAAAACCATCAAGCGCTATGATGAAACTGGCTCTCATGAGTACCACCACAGCAATGGAAGTCCCAGAGTTACCTCTGCTGCAGAGGATACGTTCATTAGAGTTACCAGCCTCAGAAATTGCAGCCCAAATAAATGCTTCACAGAGTTCAAGACAGACACATCTCAACATCAACTGTTCAGAGGGGACTGTGTGAATCAGGCCTTCATGGTCGAATTGCTGCAAAGAAACCACTACTAAAGGACACCAATAAGAAGAAGAGACCTGCTTGGGCCAAGAAACACGAGCATTAGACCGGTGGCATTTGTCCTTTGGTCTGGAGTCCAAACTGGCGATTTTTGGTTCCAACCGCTGTGTCTTTGTGAGACGCGGTGTGGGTGAACTGATGATCTCCGCATGTGTATTTCCCACCGTAAAGCATGGAGGAGGAGGTGTTATGGTGTGGGGGTGCTTTGCTGGTGACGCTGTCTGTGATTTATTTAGAATTCAAGGCACACTTAACCAGCATGGCTACCACAGCATTCTGCAGCGATACGCCATCCCATCTGGTTAGGGCTTAGTGGAACTATCATTTGTTTCTCAACAGGAAAATGACCCAACACACCTCAGGCTGTGTAAGGGCTATTTTACCAAGAAGGAGAGTGATGGAGTGCTGCATCAGATGACCTGGCCTCCACAATCCCCGACCTCAAACCAATTGAGATGGTTTTGGATGAGTCAGACCGCAGAGTGAAGGAAAAGACGCCAACAAGTGCTCAGCATATGTGGGAACTCCTTCAAGACTGTTGGAAAAGCATTCCGGGTGAAGCTGGTTGAGAGAATGCCAAGAGTGTGCGAAGCTGTCATCAAGGCAAAGTGTGGCTATTTGAAGAATCTCAAATATAAAATATATTTTGATTTGTTTAACACTTTTTTTTGGTTACTACATGATTCCATATGTGTTACTTAATAGTTTTGATATCTTCACAATTATTATACAATGTAGAAAATAGTAAAAATATAGAAAAACCCTGGAATGAGTAGGTGTGTCCAAACTTTTGACTGTTACTGTATATACACAGTATCTACATTTACATTTACATTTTAGTCATATCAAGGACAACCAATCTTTCTGAGTGAAGACCCCCAGCACCATTTGTCAGCCAGCTTTCCTCAACAGATTTGGTATGAAAAGTATTTAACCATGGGCGATGCATTAGGATGAACCGAGTTACAGAGATTAACACTGAATTACGGCTTAGAAACAGAAGGTGACAGCGAAGGCAGAACAAGGGACCGACAGAGCAGCTACATAGTCATAATCTGAACAAGTGAAACGAATAGACATCGTTGTTATCTCAATTTTTTACCGTTTTACACCCAAGTGCTTTGCCTGTGTACATCTGACAATAGAAAGTGTTGATTTAGGAAATTAGATGTTGAAAGAGGTGATCTACCTTGTAAGCAGAGGTTGTGGTCACCCCTGACTGCTATATGGTTGTCTGTATGTCCCTAGTTCTGTTTACAAGGCTCTAATTGTTTCTGGTGAATGTTACTGTAAGGTCTCCTTAGAAACTGTAATGGAATTTGTGATTGCTGCACACACCCTGTCCTTTATCTGTCAATGTCAGCAAGACTGCTATTAGATTCATTGAAGGTGTCTCTGGAACCAGACAGCTCTTAAATCAGGAGTTTCATCTTGGTTTGTTATAGGTGAAACAACTGAGTTTCTCTTCAAGACAAGTTTTCCACTGGAACTGGAGCAAATACAGCCCATGTAGCGTTTTTATTTTGTTTTTAATACATTACTATATTCTCACATGCATTGAAGGCACTTTTGTACAGCACATTAATTTCCACACTAACATCATTTTAACCATTACTCACTCTGAAACTCCCCTGTATATACAGTTGAAGTCAGAAGTTTACATACACCTTAGCCAAATACATTTAAACTCAGTTTTTCACAATTCCTGACATTTAATCCTAGTAAAAATTCCCTGTTTTAGGTCAGTTAGGATCACCACTATATTTTAAGAATGTGAAATGTCAGAATAATAGTGGAGAGAATGAATTATTTCAGCTTTTATTTCTTTCATCAAATTCCCAGTGGGTCAGAAGTTTGATAATTTTCCTTCCTCATGATGCCATCTATTTTGTGATGTGCACCAGTCCCTCCTGCAGCAAAGCACCCCTACAGCATGATGCTGCCACACCCGTGCTTCATGGTTGGGATGGTGTTCTTCGGCTTACAAGTTTCCCCCTTTTTCCTCCAAACATAACGATGGTCATTATGGCCAAATACTTCTATTTTTGTTTCATCAGACCAGAGGACATTTCTCCAAAAAGTACGATCTGTGTCCCCATGTGCAGTTGCAAACCATAGTCTGGCTTTTTTATGGCGGTTTTGGAGCAGTGGACTCGTTGATATAGGACTCGTTTTACTGTGGATATAGATACTTTTGTACCTGTTTTCTCCAGCATCTTCACAAGGTCCTTTGCTGTTGTTCTGGGATTGATTTGCACTTTTTGCACCAAAGTACGTTAATCTCCAGGAGACAGAACGCGTCTCCTTCCTGAGCGATATGACGGCTGCATGGTCCCATGGTGTTTATACTTGCGTACTATTGTTTGTACAGATGAACGTGGTACCTTCAGGCGTTTGGAAATTGCTCCCAAGGATGAACCAGACTTGTTGCGGTCTACAATTTTTTGATTTCTTGGCTGATTTATTTAGATTTTCCCATGATGTCAAGCAAAGAGGCACTGAGTTTGAAGGTAGGCCTTGAAATACATTCACAGATACACCTCCAATTGACTCAAATGATGTCAATTAGCCTAACAGAAGCTTCTAAAGCCATGACATCATTTTCTGGAATTTTCCAAGCTGTTTAAAGGCACAGTCAACTTACTGTATGTAAACGTCTGACCCACTGGAATTGTGATACAGTGAATTATAAGTGAAATAATCTGTCTGTAAACAATTGTTGGAAAAATTACTTGTGTCATGCACAAAGTATATGTCCTAACCGACTTGCCAAAACTATAGTTTGTTAACAAGAAATTTGTGGAGTGGTTGAAAAACGAGTTTTAATGACTCCAACCTAAGTGTATATAAACTTCCGACTTCAACTGTAGGTTGTCTAATTCTACAAGTATAAATATGGGCAAGTTTCATAGACCTACATTAAGGCCACTCTTGGACTAAAGTTTTGATTAAGATCATGACGAGATGGCTAAACTTCATTTAAAAAAGGTTTGCATCAGAAACGACCCTGTATTTCATCCACAGTTAACTATGTTCTTGAAATCACATTTTAAGGTCTTGATTATTAACATCATTTGGCCAACTCCTGGAATCATTTTATCTTGCTCTGTGTTCCTAAATGTGTTAAGGGGAGTATAAGTACTGTGCCTCAAGGTTACAAGTGCAGACACATTTTGAGTTTAGGTATGACCCTGAGAGAAGTATCTGGCAGCGTTTGCAGAACTAGATTGGCGATATTTCATTCATGCATTATCATAGTTTAATGGGATTGGGTCTTTAAATGAAATTGCACAAAAAAATATGAAATGAGAGGACTTTCAAGAATCGACTTTTGTTTCATGTCAACACTGTAGCTACCATGTTTTTGTACATTTGTTAACATTGGAAATATGGTTCTCTTCAAAGCACGGTAAATATGAATATTGACATGTCTATAAATTAAAGACGTAATATTGCTGAGCGACTTAAACGACATTTCGTTGATTAAACAACTGATTGACAGACATCGGTTCAATTACTTAAATTCCATTTCGGTGTTTTTTTTTTACGCGCCGTTTCTCTAGAGATAAATAAATCACGTGAGAAATGAAGTCAATAACCATATGGGACGCTGGGCTGAAGGGAGTTGTAGTTTTAAATTAAGCAAATATTCGGCCTAGTTCAGTGCAGAAACATGGTAATTAACTACAATGACCATGATCCATTGTGCCTGTTTTCTGCGACGGATAGATAGATGGATACACTTTTACCAATGACCAAACAGTATGATTAGGAACTCTGTGCTTATACGCTTGGTACGTTGGTTAGATAGACACAGAACGCATACACCGCAGCATGCATGGGGAATGTACACAATACAACGAGGAGAGAGGGGGATAGAGACAGTTCGTGAAAGTATGCCTTATCTACTTTGAAAAACGAGTAAAATGATTGTCAGACAGCTCTGCAGACGGTAGGCTAGCCTACCTAAATAGGATGACTAAAGACAGTACAGTATGGGGAGAACAGAGGTAAAGTTAGATGGTTGTCTGTCTGGCTACTACTGCCTGAGCAGCAACCTGGTCTCAGAGCATTTGGTATTATTCTGTCCCTAAATACGAAATACTGCATTTAGTATGATATGTTACGTTTCGTATTGTATGTATTAATTTGTGGATATCCATCATCCAATTCGTATCATATGTACCAATTGCAATTCGTACGATGTTACGAATTAGCAAAATGTACAATATTTTAGGAATTTTCTAAATGTATGATATGTTATGTGGGGATCTATTCTCTTACAACTAGATGTGATGTCTAGCTTAGAAAGAATACATTAATGATTAAACATACTAGGTTTGTGCTGTACTGATATAGATTGTTTAACATAACAAGCTGTGATTAATGTGAGGAACCGTTAGGGGGTAGGCTGAGATAGACTTGTGACACACACACACTGCCTCTTTGTTAAACTGCTCAAGGACATGTATACTGCTACAATGAAGAAGTGCTGACTTTCTAGACAAGTTGCAGAAACAACTAATGCCCGGCAACAGGGATGCGCCAAGGGGCTGGGACCAGCCTGAGCGTTTAGTTTAAAACCACACCCAGCCTCTACTCTGACAGGCCCAGCCTGGAGCAGGAACTATCACTGTCAGAGTATTAAAGAAGAATCTTGGGTTGAAAAAGTTAGTTCTCTGACTGCCCTGCGTGGTGTTTCAGTGGGCCCGTATATACGAACATCAGCTTTACCATTCAAGTGTTTGCATTAATTAAAATACTAGTCTATCTTAGAAGACGTGTATTGACCTCTTTTTGTTCCTATACCAGATTTGAATTGACGCAATTTGACAGTTACTAATCCAATTTGTTGTAACTAACGTTAGCTAGGCTAGGGGTTAAGGTTAGGAGTTAGGTTAGGGGAAGGGTTAGGGTTAACTAACATGCTAAGTAGTAAAAAAGTAGCTAAAATGGTAATGATGAGATTTGAACACGCAACCTTTGGGTTGCTAGACGTTCACTTTATACATATTAGTCATTTAGCAGACACTTTTATCCAGAGCGACTTACAGTTATTTTTCATACTGCCCCCCCGTGGGAAACGAACCCACAACCCTGGCGTTGCAAACGCCATGCTCTACCAACTGAGCTACATCCCTGCCGGCCATTCCCTCCCCTACCAATTGTGCGCCGAGATAATTAAGTTAGCAAGCTAGTTTCTAGCTAGCAATAATAAGGCGCAGTCCTACTGTTAGCTAGGTAAGTGCCTTAGACCACTGCGCCACTCGGGAGACTACACCCACCCCGACCAACCACCCTCCTTTAGTTTTTGCCTTAAGTAACCTTCTGTCTTATGTAACCATACCAAATGTAACATATCATACTAATTTGAGTTTGATGAATTTACATTTACTATGTTATGTCTAGTCTGAGACCAGGCAGTGAGCATCGATGATGAGTTTAAGGAATGAAAAATTATAAAGTAGTTAAGTAAAACAAATATTTTATTTCATAGTAATGTCCTATTTTTCTATGTGGACATGACAAAGACAATGGCATACTTTCAATTTTTTGGCAATTGAATGTTCACTATTTTAGGCTTTGGAATGTCCATTGAAAAGCTCATCATTTTAATGTAATTATTTCATAATGCATTAAATGTAACAACAAAAAAAACATCAAAATTGAAAACAGTGTATATTGTTTAATAATTAAACCGAAACGACCTCAAAAAGCATTAATCGCTCAGCACTAACATGTAAACATTGACATCATCATCAGTGCATGAACGTTATTTGGCTTGTGTATGTAACGCGGGCTCCAGCAGGACTCTGCTAGACTGGGTAGCAGTCTTGTTAGCTAACATTCCAATGCCAGTAGGTAGGCGTGGAATGTTAGCTAACAAGACTGCTACCCAGGCTAGGACTCCGCCACTGCATAGTCCAATGCACCACCATTAAATTATAATGATATTAAACTTGTTTGTACATTATGAATCTGTGTCCGTTATTCTTTGCCAATAAATACAAGCTTTACTAAATAGCTAGTCAGTAAGTCTTGAATATGTAAACGCACATTCCTGAAATAATTAAAGGGCCTTGACTGGTGATCACGTGACTCAGGGGGGGGGGGGGGGGGGGGGTGGTGTTGGCAAGGCGTCAGTAGACACATAGCTAGCTAGCTTGCAACGTCATTAGATAGATTTGACAGCAGTGTACAAGCTAAACGAATAAAGCAGTTGCTAACATCCTATTATATTTGTTAAGCTGTTGCTATGAAATGAGTAAAACATGGGAGCCAAAGAGTCAAGGATAGGTTTCCTCTCGTACGAAGAGGCCATCAACAGAGGTAATATAATTGATGAGTTGCTAACCTTGGCTAGCCAGCCAGTTAGATGTAAACACTAGCGTTAGCTTCATTAGCTACCTGGCTAGCTGTCTCTAAGGCTAGCTGGCGTTAACTGTTGGATGGGGAATGTGTAACTAACGTTATTAGCTATAGATGGCGAACAACATTGGGACAGGCAACTAACTAGCTAGATAACCGTGTCAAGTGAACTAAGGTGTAATTAAAATATACTAGCTGGTCCAGGTTAGCTAACTAATTAAGTTAGCAAGCTAGTTTCTAGCTAGCAATAATAAGGCGCAGTCCTGCTGTTAGTTAGGTAAATTAACCCTCCTATTATGTTGTGGGTCAATTTGACCCATTTCCACTTTTGAGTTGTCTAAAATACTGGTTAACCTCTCTTTTTCTTCGTGAAATTAAATTACTTTTCCTCATTTAGGGTCATGAACCTAACTGCAAAATGTGGACACACTGATGTGTTGTGGAATGTATGTGTAGATTGTGTATACAAACATGATGCTGTGGGTCATTTTGACCGGAGGCTTTTATGAGTATAGATAGTTGCACAGGTCCAAAATAAACAAGTGTCTTTGATGTATTTTGTTTTGACTGGTTCTGGTTGCACTTTTATAATTATGTTTGGGTGAAAAGGAGCTTTCCCAAGCTTCTTCTCAGTGCGAGAGCAGCAGACCTCTGACACAGACAATCAAAAATGAGCTCCAAAATATTTTGTCAATGAAGCCTTATCAGTAATTTTGGACTGTGACAGTGAAATAGAAGAATAGGTTTCAGAGAGAGGATATTTCAGAGATAGAGGACAATGCTGTTGATGATCCAGATTGGGAATTTTTCTTTGGTGAAGAGGATTCAGAGGAGGAGTCTGCCATACATCCCCTCCATCAGATGAGAGAGAGCGAGAGCATGCAACAACCATCATCCAGAGAAGAGAGGACATGGAAGTCTAAAGATGGTAACATAGTATTGTTACCGTCACCACAACGAAGTCAAGGTAGACTGTCAGCTTCCAATGTAATCAAAATTGACTGTCTTGAGTGTGTTTAAACTGCGGGTCAATCTGACCCATACCACAATGGACGTAATTTTTTTTCAGAAGGCTATCTTATTGACCCTAAAAATGCTACTGCCCTCTGGATCAGGTAGAGGCCAACGACTGGTAACTAAGACCTAGAGCTATCTGCATTTCTGTCAACTAGAAGTACATTTATGACACCAAGTAGCCGCTGCACTGAGAGGCTAACGTCAACGCTAGCTGTTTGTTGACATTGTGTCTGCTTGGTGGTAATGTGTGGATGGGCGGATTCGATTATGCTGAGACGCGGGGCATCGGGCAAAGGCCAGTCACGTAATCGGGCGAAAACGGGGAGGAGCGCCATTTTCAAATCGAACAGTAATCTGTGCCGCTCAGTCATTTTATCAACAAGGCATCGTCCAGAAACATACATTTCTTTCCATAAATGTTAAAATTTTCAAACTATTTGCATTTGGAAGGCAGATTAAGCATTTTTATCAAAAGCAATAACTTTTGCATGGGAAAACACAGAATCCTACTAATTACTACATGTGCTTAATTATGTGACCTTTGTTTTGAGCTGACATCGCGGGGGCTTTGAAAGGGGCTCCTGGCTCATGCCCCGGAGGCAGCCCAACTCCAAATCGAATGAAATCAACTTTAATCAGATGCGAAACACACCTTCATGGGCACCCGGGCGAGATTAATCGAACCCCCTCAGTGTTTCAATTTGACATATTCATTAAACACTATATATACAAAAGTATATGGACACCCCTTCAAATTAGTGGATTCGGCTATTTCAGCCACACCCGTTGCTGACAGGTGTATAAAATTGAGCACACAGCCATGCAATCTCCATAGGAAACAATTGGCAGTAGAATGGCCTTACTGAAGAGCTCAGTGACTTTCAACGTGGCACCTTTCCAACAAGTAATTTGGTCAAATCTCTGCCCTGCTAGAGCTGCCCCGGTCAACTGTAAATGCTGCTATTGTGAAGTGGAAACGTCTAGGACCAACAATGGCTCAGCCGTGAAGTTGTAGCCACACAAGCTCACAGAAGGGGACCGTAGAGTGCTGAAGCGCGTAAAAATCGCCTGTCCTCGAGTTCCAAACTGCCTATGGAAGCAACATCAGCACAAGAACTGTGTTAGTCGGGAGCTTCATGAAATGGATTTCCATGGCCGAGCAGCTTCACACACTTCTAAGATCACCATGCGCAATGCCAAGTGTCGGCTGGAGTGGTGTAAAGCTCGCCGCCGTTGGAGTCTGGAGCAGTGGAAACGCGTTCTCTGGAGTGATGAATCACGCTTCACCATCTGGCAGTCCCACGGACGAATCTGGGTTTGGCAGATGGCAGTAGAACGCTACCTGCCCGAATGCATAGTGCCAACCATAGTTTGGTGGGGAAGGAATTATGGTCTGGGGCTGTTTTTCATGGTTCGGGCTAGGCCCCTTAGTTCCAGTGAAGGGAAATCTTAACGCTACAGCATACAAATACATTCTAGACGATTCTGTGCTTCCAACTTTATGGCAACAGTTTTGGGAAGGCCCTTTCCTGTTTCAGCATGACAATGCCCCCGTGCACAAAGGGAGGTCCATACAGAAATGGTTTGTCGAGATCGGTGTAGAAGAACTTGATTGGCCTGCACAGAGCCCTGACCTCAACCTCATCGAACACCTTTGGGATGAATTGGAACGCAGACTGCGAGCCAGGCCTAATCGCCCAACATCAGTGCCTGACCTCACTAATGCTCTTGTGGCTGAATGGAAGCAAGTCCCCGCAGCAATGTTCCAACAACAAAACCCTGGGATGAGTAGGTGTGTCCAAACCTTTGACTGGTACTGTGTTATATATAAACTCAGCAAAAAAATAAACATCCTCTCACTGTCAACTGCGTTTATTTTCAGCAAACTTAACATGTGTAAATATTTGTATGAACATAACAAGATTCAACAACTGAGACATAAACTGAACAAGTTCCACAGACATGTGACTAACATAAATTGAATAATGTGTCCCTGAAGAAAGGGGGGGTCAAAATCAAAAGTAACAGTCAGTATCTGGTGTGGTCACCAGCTGCATTAAGTACTGCAGTGCATCTCCTCATGGAATGCACCAGATTTGCCAGTTCTTGCTGTGAGATGTTACCCCACTCTTCCACCAAGGCACCTGCAAGTTCCCGGACATTTCTGGGGGTAATGGCCCTAGCCTTCACCCTCCGATCCAACAGGTCCCAGACGTGCTCAATGGGATTGAGATCCAGGCTCTTCGCTGGCCATGGCAGAACACTGACATTTCTGTCTTGCAGGAAATCACGCACAGAACAAGCAGTATGGCTGGTGGCATTGTCATGCTGGAGGGTCATGTCAGGATGAGTCTGCAGGAAGGGTACCACATGAGGGAGGAGGATGTCTTCCCTGTAACGCACAGCGTTGAGGTTGCCTGCAATGACAACAAGCTTAGTCCGATGATGCTGTGACACACCGCCCCAGACCATGACAGACCATCCACCTCCAAATCGATCCCGCTCCAGAGTACAGGCCTCGGTGTAGCGCTCATTCCTTCGACGATAAACACGAATCCGACCATCACCCCTGGTGAGACAAAACCGCGACTCGTTAGTGAAGAGCACTTTTTGCCAGTCCTGTCTGGTCTAATGACGGTGGGTTTGTGCCCATAGGCGACGTTGTTGCCGGTGATGTCTGGTGAGGACCTGCCTTAAAACAGGCCTACAAGCCCTCAGTCCAGCCTATTGCGGACAGTCTGCGCACTGATGGAGGGATTGTGCGTTCCTGGTGTAACTCGGGCAGTTGTTGTTGCCATCCTGTACCTGTCCCGCAGGTGTGATGTTCGGATGTACCGATCCTGTGCAGGTGTTGTTACATGTGGTCTGCCACTGCGAGGACGATCAGCTGTCCGTCCTGTCTCCCTGTAGCGCTGTCTTAGGCATCTCACAATACGGACATTGCAATTTATTGCCCTGGCCACATCTGCAGTCCTCATGCCTCCTTGCAGCATGCCTAAGGCACGTTAACGCAGATGAGCAGGGATCCTGGGCATCTTTCTTTTGGTGTTTTTCAGAGTCTGTAGAAAGGCCTCTTTAGTGTCCTAAGTTTTCACAACTGTGACCTTAATTGCCTTACCGTCTGTAAGCTGTTAGTGTCTTAACGACCGTTCCACAGGTGCATGTTCATTAATTGTTTATGGTTCATTGAACAAGCATGGGAAACAGTGTTTAAACCCTTTACAATGAAGATCTGTGAAGTTATTTTGATTTTTATGAATTATCTTTGAAAGACAGGGTCCTGAAAAAGGGGCGTTTCTTTTTTTGCTGAGTTTATATATACAGTTGAAGTCGGAAGTTTTACATACACCTTAGCCGAATACATTTAAACTCAGTTTTTCACAATTCCTGACATTTAATCCTAGTAAAAATTCCCTGTCTTAGGTCAGTTAGGATCACCACTTCATTTTAAGAATGTGAAATGTCAGAATAATAGTAGAATGATTTATTTCAGCTTTTATTTATTTCATCACATTCCCAGTGGGTCAGAAGTTTACATACACTCAATTAGTATTTGGTAGCATTGCCTTTAAATTGTTTAACTTGGGTCAAACGTTTCAGGTAGCCTTCCACAGACTTCCCACAGTAAGTTGGGTGAATTTTGGCCCATTCCTCCTGACAGAGCTGGTGTAACTGAGTCAGGTTTGTAGGCCTCCTTACTTGCACACGCTTTTTCAGTTCTGCCCACACATTTTCTATATGATTGAGGTCAGGGCTTTGTGATGGCCACTCCAATACCTTGACTTCGTTGTCCTTAAGCCATTTTGCCACAACTTTGGAAGTATGCTTGGGGTCATTGTCCATTTGGAAGAACAATTTGTGACCAAGCTTTAACTTCCTGACTGATGTCTTGAGATGTTGCTTCAATATATCCACATCATTTTCCTTCCTCATGATGCCATCTATTTTGTGAAGTGCACCAGTCCCTCCTGCAGCAAAGCACCCCCACAGCATGATGCTGCCACCCCTGTGCTTCACGGTTGGGATGGTGTTCTTTGCCTTGCAAGCAACCCCCTTTTTCCTCCAAACATAACAATGGTCATTATGGCCAAACAGTTCTATTTTTGTTTCATCAGACCAGAGGACATTTCTCCAAAAAGTACCATCTTTGTCCCCATGTGCAGTTGCAAACCGTAGTCTTGCTTTTTTATGGCGGTTTTGGAGCAGTGGCTTCTTCCTTGCTGAGCGGCCTTTCAGATTATGTCGATATAGGACTCATTTTACTGTGGATATAGAGACTTTTGTACTTGTTTCCTCCAGCATCTTCACAAGTTCCTTTGCTGTTGTTCTGGGATTGATTTGCACTTTTCGCACCAAAGTACATTCATCTCTAGGTGACAGAACGCGTCTCCTTCCTGAGCGGTATGATGGCTGGGTGGCCCATGGTGTTTATACTTGCGTACTATTGTTTGTACAGATGAACGTGGAACCTTCAGGCTTTTGGAAATTGCTCCCAAGGATGAACCAGACTTGTGGAGGTCTACAATTTTTTTTCTGAGGTCTTGGCTGATTTCTTTTGATGTTCCCATGATGTCAAGCAAAGAGGCACTGAGGTTGAAGGTAGGCCTTGAAATACATCCACAGGTACACCTCCAATTGACTCAAATGATGTCAATTAGCCTATCAGAAGCTTTTAAAGCCATGACATCATTTTCTGGAATTTTCCAAGCTGTTTAAAGGCACAGTCAATTTAGTGTATGTAAACTTCTGACCCACTGGAATTGTGATACAGTGAATTATAAGTGAAATAATCTGTCTGTAAACAATTGTTGGAAAATGTACTTGTGTCATGCACAAAGTAGATGTCCTAACCGACTTGCCAAAACTATAGTTTGTTAACAATACATTTGTGGAGTGGTTGAAAAACTAGTTTCAATGACTCCAACCTAAGTGTATGTAAACTTACGACTTCAACTGTATATATAAAAAACCATAGCCAGTTGTGGAACCCAAGCCTAAAGTTTGAGAGCTTGGCCTACTGTGCAATCACAGACCTATTAAGGCTATCTATACTGAACAAAAATATAAACGCAACATGTAAAGTGTTGGTCCCATGTTTCATGAGCTGAAATAAAAGATCCCAGAAATGTTTAATATGCACAAAAAACGTATTTCTCTCAAATGTTGTGCACAAATGTTTACATCCCTGTTAGTGAGCATTTCTCCTTTGCCAAGATAATCCATCCACCTGACAGGTGTGGCATATCAATAATCTGATTAAACAGCATGTGCTGGGGACAATAAAAGGCCACTCTAAAATGACGTGTCAAGTTTTGAGGGAGCGTGCAATTGGCATGCTGACTGCAGGAATGTCCACCAGAGCTGTTGGTAGAAAATGTAATGTTCATTTCTCTACCATAAGCCGCCTCCAACGTCGTTTTAGAGAATTTGGCAGTATGTCCAACCGGCCTCACAACCGCAGACCACGTTTAACCACGCCAGCCCAGGACCTCCACATACGGCTTCTTCACCTGCAGGATTGTCTGAGACAAGCCACCCGGACAGCTGATTAAACTGAGTATTTCTGTCTGTAATAAAGCCCTTTTGTGGGGAAAACTAATTCTGATTGTCTGGGCCTGGCTCCCCAGTGGGTGGGCCTATGCCCAGCCATGGCTGTGCCCCTGCCCAGTCATGTGAAATCCATAGATTAGGGCCTAATTAATTTAATTCAATTGACCGATTCTTATATGAACTGTAACTCAGTAAAATCATTGAAATTGTAGCATGTTGCGTTTATTTTGGTTCAGTATAGCTAGCTAACAGCTGACAGAGCTAACATTAACTAGCAGTATACTAATGTTGTTTGTGTATTTGTGTCTCTTCCTGTACTGTATTGTTGACATTGTGTCTGTCTGGTGCTGTGCCAATGTTTAAATTTATGTTATGTTATGATATTCAGGCCTAGCCTAGAGCTGGAACTTGTGCAATCAGGGACCTAGAAAAGCCATATAGCTAACAGCTGATGTAGCTAACTAGCAGTATACTGTTGTTGTTATTGATGATGGTGGTGTATGTGGCTCTGCCAGTACTCTATTGTAGTGCTGAGCACTTGCAAGCATTTACAAATCTGGCTGGGTGGCAGACATAAACCTTCCCGCAATTACTGATTAGTTATGATAGTTGCTATAGTAATACAATTTAACAGCCATGGTAGTCGTGGTTGTAGGTTTGGTTTATGAAGATAGCCTAAGCTTGTATTGGTGACCATGGTTTAATGCTCTGCCTGACCATACAGTCCATGTTTAATTTACAGAAAAGCGATTGTGTATATTCCTCACAATCACTGTGTCTCTAACCCTCCCAGTCACTGATGTGGAGCTCCAGCGTCTGAAGGATGCCTTCAGGAGGACCAGTGGCCTGTCCTGTTACATGAGCCAGCAGTGCTTCCTCAGGGAGGTGCTGGGAGACGTCGTACCACCCAGGGTTGCTGAGGTGAGCCTAGTTCAACAGACAAGACGGCCCCGGTGTTACATGAGGTCTGATGGGAGAGTCTCCATGTCATTTCAGCAAGCCATGGCACCCACCATCTCAGATTGTTCTTATATCGTTTCTGTAGTTAGAAACAGATAAGATTAGCATTCCTGCTAGAGGTCTTCACGGATCCACCTGTACCCGAGACCACCTGTGCGGATCCAGAATTCTAAATAATGTCACAAGTCTGGTTTGGATCTGATATGATTGTGATAGGTCTCGGGTATGTGTAATTTTAACTGACTTGTCAGGAAGGCCGAACGCGACTGTTGCAGTAGAGAGAGAGCGAGAGAGAAATGTTATAATTTATAATTTGTTTTTCACGAGAGTGGCGCATGTAGCTTGTTGTTGGCCAATCATAAGTCATCAAAGCGGCAATAGGCTACAGCCATAGAGCCTCGCTCCGTGTGTGGCAAAAGTTAGGAGATATCTAATCGATGGAAGATGGAATTAAAAGTTAAAGGAGAAGGATAGGCGTCTCTAGCAACCGAACCGATAGAATGAACGACCAGCCGGCTTGGGTAGCAACCCTAGATTTGTGTTGGGACTATATATTGTGGAAGGATGAAATAGTAAGTTAATGAAAATATGTCAATCATTATTTGAATATGTTGGTATCCCGTTATATAACGGGTTACCAACACCCGTGCCAATATATCCTCCAAACACCGGCTTCGAGGGCATGATCACTTAACAATAGGATGAGAAAGCGCATGCACTGATTCCTCAGTTAGCCTAGCTAGCTAACGTTGGCTAATTTAACTAGCTTCTCCCGGTTCGACACAGTCAAGACAGGTACTACGTAATCATATTTGATGATAAATAACCTAGCTATGGAAGCTATTAGTCTACTATAGCGCGAGTCAGGTTGGTTGGTTGCTGTCTCTCCCTCCTCCTTTTTGGACACGTGAAGACCTCTAATTCTTGCAACATTATCTGAGAAATTAAGCTAATTGATTGCACCCAAATTGGCCATTTTAATTGATAGGATTCACATAATATTAAATAAATATAGTACCTAACATCCGATTTTGACCAAACTTCTTTCCAGACATGAAGAATCCAAAGTAATGGTGAAAAGCCACCCACGGATCCCCACACCCCATGCCAATCACACCCCAACAACCAGTATACAGTATCAGTTCTCCATGTCTGACAAGTAGTATGGAGCTGTGGCTTGGGAGTATTGCTTCTTCATCCTTTGTAATGTATTCCTTGTTAATCTGATGTCCCCCCCCTTCAGAGAAATTAGTCATTGAAGTTAGGTTTATGGCCCATCAAACAACCTGATTAACATATTCTGACCACTAGATGGTGCTGTTCCTGTCATTAGGTAAAAGTGTTTTTAAAAAAATCCACCTCAATGTTATTTCAAAACATAACATTCAGATGATAATGATTTATACATGTAGAGTGAATCGTTAAAGTTATAACTATTTTAACTATCTCAAAGAAAAATCATATGAAAATAAAACCACATTGAGGACTACTCATTCTTCAGTTAATTATTTCACTTTCTTTTCTTTCTTCAGTGCATCTATTGCAGTGATGTCGCCATATCCTAAATTATATTGATGACCCGTTGCTGTGGTTGGTGCCTTAAAGGGATACTTCGGGATTTTGTCAATGAGGCCCTTTATCTACTTCCCCAGAGTCAGATGAACTTGTGGATACCATTTTTGTGTGTCCAGTATGAAAGAAGTTAAGAGGTAGTTTTGTGATTCAATGCTAACTAGCGTTAGCTCAATGACTGGAAGTCTATGGGTATCTGCTAGCATGAAGTATCCCTTTAATGGTGCAGATTATGCTTGTTTTTGGAACATAACATGTGTTCTCTCTATTTGGCCAAGAAAATAACCTTGCTGGATAACTTGGGATGCGTTAATTTCACCTTTTATGTCCATGTTATCATCCACAATTACAATCCAGTATTCATCATCAAAGCAGCAAACTAGAAAATCAGATGCTCGCACATTCACCATTGTATACTCATCTATGGGTTTTCCGAGGACTAAGTCAAACTTAATGTCAGTAGCTAGGTTTCCATCCAATTTGTGACAGATTTTCATGCAAATATTCTAAAATCTACATGAAACAATATGCGCCTTTTCCCACCAGAGATGTTTCCATAAAACTGACGTATTGTGGATAAAAGTGTGCGTTTTGACGTAGTGCACATAAAAATAACTTTTGCAGTTAAACTCCTATGTACCGAATGAAAAATACAAGTTAAATGGGTATTCATCGCATTTAATGCTACTGATGGCTCTAGCCAACAGCTCGCAGATACATTACGGGTAGGCTACCTATATTGAAATTATTATGGATATAGCGATATCATTTTTATTTGTCAAACGGCTGCCAAGCATCGATCATCATGTCACTAGAATAAGACCCTCGCTATTTAAAGGAGCATCAAGCACATCAAATGCACTTTGACCACCCTGTGAAGTTCATCATAACTTATTTCATCTGTAGCCTACAAAACTGCATGGTTTCCCAAGTCGTAGTGAGAGGACCACACAACATATCGCGTGACTCCAAGTTTACTTCGATTTGATGGTTATTATATCAATATTTGCCCATAAATGCGTTTCCACTGCAATTTCTCGCATAACACATTTTACTGACACCATGTCGAATGAACAAATTGTCTGTCGGCATTTATAAATTTGTACCTGCATATCCTGTTTCCATCAGCCCGGTCGTGACTTTTTTCTTGCGTCAGGTAATTCAGTCGCATGAAATGGTTGGATGGAAACCTGGTTACTGGAAACTCTTGATGAGGCTTTTGGAGAGTAGAACAAAGTGATGGAAGCTGCGTGTTCCTGGCAGAGGTCTTGTGTCTTTCACTGAGTTCTATGTGCACATTTTCCATGTCCTGTTCTATGATAAACACTTTCACATCACATCTATGCACAACACCATCAGGTCCACTAATGCATGGCAGTCCTTATCCACCTTAACTGCATTTAGCATTAGTGACATTTTGGTGTATTGTACATACACACAGAGTGTGTTCCAGATGAGCTGACTGCCACACAATGCTTCGGACATAGACTGCATAATTTGGAAAAAAACTATTTTGTATACTGGACATTTATTTTTGAAAGCTGCATACAGTTCTTTAAGGTTGCACAGAATGAGTCTCTTCTGCTCATGAACTTTGAATTTGACAAAATCCTTTTCCCCTGGCATAAGTCTACTATATATTACATTGTCATTGTAGAATCTAATGACCAAATCCTCCATTCTTTGGCAATGATTTTCCAGTTTTCTGCTTTGGCAACTCCATGATACCTTTCTCTGAAGCCAGTTTTCTTGCTGCCCATATGTAAACACGGACATTAAAGACCTCTTTAGTTTTGACTATAGACCATGATGGTGGAGCCATTATTATTTTTGAATCTTTTACTTTCTGCTGGATAATTAGTTTTTATTTCATTAAGTAAACGAGCCTGTCAAGATCTTCAGCATTTTGCTGAATTTCTTTAAAGATCTCAGGCTGCTCTGAGGCGCCAGTTCCTCAGGAGATACATTAACAGATTGAGCAGCCTGCTGATGTATGGTGGATTGTGCATCTTTGAACTTCATCTGCACGTGAAGATTTATTTTTGCACAGCATACCTTGGAATGAGATGCCACTCCATGGAGCCGTAGTGGACTTACACCAATGTCACTTAAACTGGAGTCAAGACAGGACTTCATTCTTTTAGCAGCCCCTCAACATCATGACCAGATTAATTATGTGGCTCTCCATTGTCACTTTTTTCATTGAAAGCAATGTGACATCATGGACACAGTTTCATTCCAGGGATGACATTGTCACTGAACATTCCCTTAATTCTTAGCCACCTACACATTTACTTCTGAGTGATCTATTTACTGCTTTCATGTGTTTATTAAATGAATCACAACATTTTCTTTGGAAGTTTGGGTAGATAATCAATAGCTTTTGCTCATGATGAAAGCAAATTGTGTGGTCATCCTCACAAGTCAAACCTGTCCTCCATGAAAACAATTTAGTTTGTCCTTCTTTTAGCAACCTAAAATGCTTCAAACTAACTTTCCTTGAATAGTCCAATGAATGGCAACTCTGAGGTCTTTCCCTATGGTGCAATTCTCATGAAGACATTTCCTACTAGCCCAAAACGTTGGAGCAATTGGCAAGTGGCTGAAATGCTGAGCGTGACAACCCTATAAAAAAAAAAAAGAACCAATTAGAACATTTACCATTAAATCCATTAGAAACCATTAAACCTACGCAATACACCATTATATAAACAATTTAAGCCACTCACCAATAGAAACTATTGCAAAACACAATGCAGTGTGTTTTTGGGATATTTACCTTTTGAAGACCATTAGAGACCACAACCATTAAAACCATTAAACTGCTGTAGCCTAGTGGTTTGCTTGTTCACTGGAAAAGGTCTAACTGCTCCAGACCTTTTTTGAAGGGAATAGGCCACACACTCAATGTATTCTCAACCAGTAAAAATGTTGCTCATGAGGTTGAAAATCCCTGAGCCTATCCCTCTACCTGGGTAGTACCCAACTTCCGTGAGTGGCTTTTGACAATTTCTTTGGATTCCTCATGTCTTACTCATTGTTAGAAAAAAGTTGGGTCCAAATCGGATGTTAGGTACTATATTTATTGAATATTATATGAATCTTATACATTTAAAATGGCCAATTTGGTGCACTCAATTAGCTTAATTTCTCAGAGTTCAAATGGTCTTTCAATAAAATGTTTCAGGAACGCTTATCTGTTTCTAACTACCGAAATGATTTCAGAACAATCTGAGATGGTGGGTGTCAATTCTCTTTCTTGTGCTTTTTAAGGTGAATGACTCGGGAGAGATTGTAGCCGATAGACTCATATCAGAAGAGCACAAACTTAGCAAACTAGCTAGCTAAGCTGGCATATTTTAATTACATTTTAGTCCACTTGACAGGGTTATCTAAGATAATATACGTTTTTATCGATTTCTAAGAGGGCACTCACTCTCCAAAAAACAATCCGTCAAATAAAGTAGGTCAGGACTGGACAGGAATAAGTTGACATATTTACCTGAATTGAACCCAGCTCCCTTCCTCTGTTTCTAGGTGATATACAGCTCATTCGGTGGGACCTCTAAAGGCCTGCACTTCAACAACCTCATTGTTGGCCTGGTTCTCTTGACTAGAGGACGTGATGAGGAAAAAGCTAAATGTGAGTATTGTAACAGACAGACTGATGGAACCACTATAGATGTTTGTGTTGACCATGTAATTGCAAGAATAATCATAGAATGACATAATAATTTAATAGGATCTCTGAGAATAATCTTTAAACAAAGGCTTTGTATACAATATGTGAAGTTTTAACAAATAGACCCTCTTCACACAAATGGACCCCTCTTTTGGACCCCCATTGTGAATGTCACCTGTGACAGAGTTTCATATCAGGCTAAACTTCTTTTGTGGCTCTCCTTCAGATATTTTCAGTCTGTTTGCCAGTGATTCTGGCAATCATGCAACGCGAGAGGACATGGAAAGCATGCTACAGACTGTGGATGGAGAGATCCCACTTTCTCTTAGGAAGTGTTTCTCTGAGGTTAGCTCATATGCCTTATTTGAATGAATATGTACGGGTAACTGCCAAAATAAAGGAAATGCCAGCATAAAGTGTCTTAAGAGGGAGTTGGGCCACCACGAGCTGCCAGAACAGCCTCAATGCGCCTTGGCATAGATTCTACAAGTGTCTGGAACTCTATTGGAGGGATGCGACACCATTCTTCCATGACAAATTCCATAATTTGGAGTTTTGTTGATGGTGGTGGAAAACGCTGTCTCAGGTGCCACTCCAGAATCTCCCATAATTGTTAAATTGGGTTGAGATCTGGTGACTGAGACACACACCCTTTAAACCCCCTATGCTCCTTTGAGACCCCTCTTTCAAAGTTACTAAGATCTCTTCTTCTATCCACGGTATCTAAAATAATGGGCAACTGGGCATTTTTATACATGACCCTAAGCATGATGGAATTTTAATTGCTAAATTAACTCAGAAACCACACGTAGAAGCACCTGCTTTCAATAGGTTTTGTATCCCTCATTTACTCAAGTATTTCCTTTATTTTGGCAGTTACCTGTATTTTACTGTTTTAAACACACATTTTGACAGCCATGTTTTCACATACTGTATGACCGCCAGGGTGGGTGCAAATCTGCTATTACTCGCTTACCAGGTCAATTTTAATCTGCAACTTTTGTTCACTACAAACATGCCACATATCCTAATGTATCCTCATGTCTTATCTAATTGTAAGCTGCTGACAGGACTTCTGTTATCTGTTTAACCAAGTGCACATGGCTGCTAATGCTACTTGACATAAGAAGATAATTCCAGTATGTGTTTTGCACCTTTGTTCAAGGCTTAGTGGAGGTCCTGTCAATATGTTGATCTCTCTTGTTATTTTCTTTACCAGGGTGAGAAGGTAAACTATGAGAAATTTAAGAGCTGGCTCCTGAGCAACAAGGATGCCTTCACCTTCTCCCGCTGGCTCCTGTCCAGTGGGGTGTGTGTCACCCTGACAGACGATAGTGACACACCCACCTTCTACCAGACCTTGGCTGGAGTAACACACTGTGAGTGACTGTCATCCTGATCCTTTGGGAGATACACTACCAGTCAAAAGTTTGGACACACCTACTCATTCAAGGGTTTTTCTTTATTTTTACAATTTTTTACATTGTAGAATAATAGTGAAGACATCAAAACTATGAAATAACACATATGGAATCATGTAGCAAAATATATTTTATATTTGAGATTCTTCAAATAGCCACCCTTTGCCTTGATGGCAGCTTTGCACACAGCTTTGCACATAATTGCCTGTTGTTAAGCACGACGCAACGCCTGGATACAGCCCTTAGCCGTGGTATATTGGCCATATACCACAAACCCCCGAGGTGCCTTATTGCTATTATAAACTGGTTACCAATGTAATTGGAGCAGTAAAAATAAATGTTTTGTCGTACCCATGGTATACGGTCTGACATACCACGTCTGTCAGCCAATCAGCATTCACGGCTCGTACCACCCAGTTTTTAATAAATAATAGGCTAGGGGTCAGATTTGATCTCTAGTCTTGTCATGCCACTTATTGATTTTCTCTTGCAGTAGAGGAATCAGATATCATTGACCTGGAGAAGAGATACTGGCTGCTGAAAGCTCAGTCTCGGACCGGACGATTTGACCTGGAAACCTTTGTCCCTTTAATTTCTCCCCCTATTCATACATCCCTAAGTGAAGGTAAGAGAATACGCAGGATGTGGATTTGATTTATTGGATACTTCTTTTGAAGGCGATCGTTACGTCCATTTCTCCTTCTGTGTAGGTTTGTTTCATGCCTTTGATGAAAACAGGGACAATCACATAGATTTTAAGGAAATCTCGTGTGGACTATCTGCTTGCTGCAGAGGGCCTTTGGCAGAGAGACAGAAGTGTAAGTACATACACAAGCACTAAGCCTTGCTGTTTGTCATTCTTTCATCACATTGACAGTTTCAATGTGTGACTTTCACCTTGTTTCTTTTCCCCAGTCTGTTTCAAAGTGTTTGATGTTGACCATGATGGGCTTCTGTCTCGAGAGGAAATCACAGAAATGGTTGGGGCATTACTGGAGGTGTGGAAAGACAATCGCACAGATCTTCTACCTGTAAGTTCCATTTGGCCAGACTGGACATATGATGGACATACTGTAGAGAATGATAACTGTTGTAATGTTTGTAATTAGATTGTTTTGTTTGTTTGAACCTGTCCCATTACCACTCTGGTTTCTTACCTAAGCCTTACCCTGCCTCTGTCCCTTAAGGAAGCGCACAGTAATGTCCATACCATTGTGGAAGACATCCTGAAGGAGCATGACACCACTAAGGTATTACCTTACTGCTTGCATGACTTGGCATTCATACAGATTTCTTTAATGTTGTCAGAAAATTTTGAAACCGGCTATTGGTGGTTATTGTGTTCTTTAGCAAGGGCATTTGACCCTGGAGGACTACCAAATATGGAGTGTGAAGAGTGCATTTGCCAATGAGTTCCTCAACCTGCTGTTTCAGGTAAGAGCCAGCCACTGTGTGTTTCTACTTTGGTCTCCATTATGTGCTGTGCATGCTTTTATTGTTCTGCTGGATCACCAGTCTTCTGCTATCGTGTTGGTCACTAGGTGTGCCATATTGTCCTGGGGCTGCGGCCTGCTTCCCCTGAAGAGGAGGGACAGATAATCAGGTATGTGTGTCTGTGTCACCATGTCATTGTCCTTTCCTGCTGTCATACACATGCTTACTTATCCCCTCATCAATCAATCTAACACTCACAAACTCACTCACTCGTGTCTGCAGGGGCTGGTTGGAGAGGGCGAGCAGACACGGCCTCCAGCCAGGAGACTACTGGTTCCTCATAGCAGTGCCGTGGTGGCAGCAGTGGAGGGACTACGTCAAATATGTAAGCAAGGCTTTTTCACTGCTTGACACCATGATCATCTGTTTATCATACTGTGCCCATTCTTTACTGATGTGATTTTGGTTGTTGGAATCTCTTCCAGGACAACAAGCATATTGTGGTGGAGCAGCCATTAGTGTTTGGCACGGTGAGGAGTGGTGTAGGGACCGGAACCCAGGCCAGGGCGGAGCAAGGCCCAGAGGGGGAGAGCATGGCCAGCTCCCACAGCTCCCCAGAGGAGAAGTTCGCTGACAACATCTCCAGTGCATCAGAGGCCTCCGAGACCACCACCGGCAGTGAGTGGTTAAGAATTCTCAGCACCCAGTGTTACACTAGTATTAGCAAAACAGTTGGATACTAGTATAGCTTAATAATAAGTGAATTTACCACTCATTATACCTGACTTGACTTACACACTGTGTGCTGAGAGTGAGTTTACCACTGAATGTCACTGAAAACCATTAATTTGCTCTCCTTAGGCCTTCTTCCCCTGGGCTCGACTGCTACGGATATCTGCTTTGCCCGTCTGCATGACACCCCAGACACAGACAACCAGTGCTTCCTGGGGGCTGATGGGAACATGGTGGTTCTAAGGCCTGGGGCCATCGATAACCAGCCTCTGGTCACATCAGAGCCCTTAAAGGTACGTTAGGCACCACAAACAAAACTGTGGAAAGGGATAGACTCAATTAGAGATTAGAATGTTCCTCTTCCTCAAACTGACCTTGCCATATTGTTTCAGTTTTAAACCTGTCCCTCTTGAACTGTTTCCCCAGGCTCCCACATTGACCATGGAGGGGGGCCTACTGAGGTGCTCCCCGTCTCTGATTCTAGGCCGGGACTTTGAGGTTGTGCCAGAGCCTGTGTGGAGGGCACTCTACCACTGGTACGGAGCCAACCTGAGTCTCCCCAGGCCGGTACGTACAGTTCAACTCTGTAAAGCAGGACCACTTGTTGGATTTGCCCTTAAACAGTCACCATTATCATCCCTATTCAAATCACATTTTATTGGTCACATACACATATTTAGCAGATGTTATTGCGGGTGTAGCGAAATGCTTGTGGTGTAGCGAAATGCTTGTCATAATCCTGATATTGTGATAACCTCACATTCCCATCCCCTCCCCTCTTCTCCTGTTGGCATTCCCAGGTGATCAGAAACACCAAGACAGACTGTGCTGAGCTGGAGCTGTTCCCCCGACACCTGCTCTTCCTGAGGCAGCAGCAGCCCCCCGCCCGCACCCCCCAGAACAACGTCTGGGTCAATATGGGTAAGAGCTTCCCCTGCATGTGTCTCCAGCACTTCCCCAAAGGTTACAAAGCAAAGGAGGGACAAGAATAGCACAGTGCCCTAGTGACTTTCTTCCCCAAGAGTGTCCAGGGTCAGTGCCATTCAGCATTTTGATCTCAAAAGCAAGTCCACTCCCGACTGTGGATGATTGAAAGACTGCTTGTGCAATAGATGCATTCAGCCTACAACACAATCACGAATCAATCTTACAAAGTTAGAATTGGTTTGGTTTGTTGCATTGAAAGGGGCTGATATTATATAACATAATTCACACATTAGAGGGAAACATTGATCTGTTTAAGGAAATATGTAACGGGGCAAACTAGTAAAGTTGAATCACTAGAGTTCTCTGCACGGGCTGGCATTTCTTCTGCAGCAGTCCTGGAGGAGGAAGGCGCTTAGAGGGAACATTGGTCACAAGACTTGGGGCAGCACAGGAACACATAAACATCTCAGTCATGTGAGGTCATTTCTGTGTGGGTTCCCACTATCAGGGCATTAAATTAACTTTTTGGTCCACCAGCCACTGTGGCAGGTAGATAAAGAAATAAGCCAAAATATATTTTTGCCGCTAAAATTACACCAACAAAACGGATGAACATGCTTTGTAATATTTCTAAAACAATAAATGTATTACTAGTAAGAAGTAACTAATGTGGTATATTGTTTAATTACTATTTTTTTGTGACCTGAGTCTTTTAACCAAAATATCACAGATTAGATCAATATTTTCACCTGCCCCTGTAAGGGCGGGGGGTTACCGTGGTAGCACGACTAGTCATGTTTGTGCCTGTGAGATTGAGTCTGACTAGTAGAAGCGTTGTCTTCTCTTCGCTAGCAGTTGAAATTAAAACATAGAAAAACAACCTAGCTTGTGAACAAAACAATGTCAGTAGCCAAGAAACACGAGGACAAAAAGTCTCACTTCAGTAGACTTTAGTTTCAAGTAAATTAGACAAACTTTTATGCCTGTGCGCAGCGCTTCTAAAAATGAATCTTTCACTCAGCTCTTCACATGCGCTCAGCCCCCAGCCAGGCAGTGTTGCAGCGCGAGGTGGAATAGGCTAAATAGGATTCAAAGTTCTTTTGACTTTGTGCGATTCATTTACCAGCTATGAAACAAAATGGCAGAAATATTTTGAAAACAGCTACTGCAGCATTTATACTTGACTATTGTTATTCACAAATGCGAGTGAAATGCTCGCACAGTGGAGCCTTGACCACCCGCCAATGTGGCTGGTGAAATAGATGTCTTACCTGCCAATGCCAAAATCTGCCTGCATTTGGCAGGTGGTGGGTGTTAATTTTAGGCCTTGCACACCGTTTTATCTGTGACACTCAGGGCAATATCCTAAAATGTGCACGCTCCATTGACGTCAATGAATGGTATACGCGATAAGCTAAGTGTGCAGATCACAAATTAGGATCTGGGCCTCATTATATGGCAGAGCATTTGGCCACAGCAACATAGTCTGTGAATATGCTACCACGACTTTTCCTGTGCTTTTTACCAATCATGTGTGCAGAGCAGTGCTCTATGTATCAATGGTTGCTCCCTGTCCTCCCCCAGGTAACGTCCCCTCTCCTAGTGCCCCCCTAAAGCGTGTGTTGGTCTACACGGGCTGTTTCAGTAGGGTGGGCACCATCAAGGACATCCATGAATACCTGTCCCAGAGACTCCGCATCAAGGAGGAAGAGATGCGCCTGTGGCTCTACAACGATGAGGTGGGTGTGACTCAGAAGGTTGACCCTTCATCAACATACACTGCAAGGTTCTACCCAAATAATGTAAGAGGGGCACTGTGCCACCTTGTGGACTTGGCTGCACCACTATGCATTAAAAAAATACAAAAAAACAACAACATGTAAACACACTCACAGTGAACACACACTGTGAATTACTTGAATTGCTCTTGCCTGGACATACCTATGGTCCCTGTTCTGTTGACCATTGAGTAATGAAATTAGTAGAATAATTCTAGGAAAAATACTGTGAAAAATATTCAATAATTCATTTGCACTTAACCAGTCAGTGTTTGCTACTTTATTTGTTATCATTTAAGGCTCTAGATTGCAGGAAATTGCAGCTACAGGTGTTCAAAAACACACAAATCTCTGAGTCCAAAAGGAGCCACAGCCCTCCTTGGGACCTCCCCCTCGACTGACTCCTCAGCACCACCTTGTTATGAAAACCTGGGGAGAACCCTGCACTGCAAACACAGACCTGCACAAGTGCACAGTAAACACTCAAACTCAAATGCAAACACAAATGCACTCACAAAAATGTTACAGTTCAACAATCTCTCATTTCTTTCAAAACAATGTTATCCACAGAATTATCTGACCCTCCTTGATGATGAAGACCATTCCCTGGAGGGGTTGAAGATCCCAAATGGACAGTATGTGGTCATAGAAGGTATGCATAACGAATCTCTGTGTTTGAATGGCTCCATCATCTATTGTCAGGATGAGAAGATGAAGATGGTTTCTTTTGTGTTCATCAGTTCGGAACAAGGACATGAGCTGGCCTGAGGAGATGTCCTTCATCGCTAACAGCAACAGGATGAATAGACACAATGGTATGCCCATTACTGCATACAGCTACTGCACCAATACAACATTAGCACTACTATTATGTATTCCTTATTGATAATTTAACATTAACTGAGCTGATTGGTACTTCGATGTATTATAGATAAGTCTGTCAGACAATACTTGTTTTGCTTTCTCCAAACATGAAAGGGGTCATACTGACTGCTGTAGGAGCTTTTGATGGTTGAATAACCTCCTCAGACTGTTGCCTCCTCCTGTTGTTCACAGTCCCTACTGAGAAAGGTGCTACTGGATTGAGCAACCTTGGCAACACGTGCTTCATGAACTCCAGTATCCAGTGTGTGAGCAACACCAAGCCTCTCACAGACTACTTCACCTCAGGAAACTACCTCTACGAGCTCAACAGGTATGCGTGTGCATTATTTTAGACTTAAAAGAATACATGCTTATTATACAAGAAAGTATTATTATACAAGCTTATTATACTCTTTGGGCAAAATGTTGGTCAAATAAATCCACAGCAAGCAGAAATGGATGTGCGAGTTTCTTTTTAATTTGTGCTGTTTGTCTCCATAACAGGACCAATCCAATTGGGATGCGTGGTCACATGGCCAAGTGCTATGGCGATCTGGTTCAGGAGTTGTGGAGTGGAACACAGAAGAACTTGGCCCCTCTGAAACTCAGAGTATGTCCACTTACAAGCCTCCAACTGACACCCCCAAATAACACTACAGACTACCAACCTAAAAAGTACAGACTACCAACCTAAAAACTCAAATGGTTGTCTTTTTCCCTTTTCTCCTTGTCCTCCGTCTCTTCCCTCAGTGGACGATAGCGAAATACGCCCCCCGGTTCAATGGCTTCCAGCAGCAGGACTCCCAGGAGCTGCTGGCCTTCCTACTGGACGGCCTTCACGAGGACCTGAACCGTGTTCACGAGAAGCCCTACGTGGAGCTGAAGGACAGCGACGGACGACCAGACTGGGAGGTGGCTTCTGAGGTCAGAGTTTATACACACTGTTCCTATCTTCATGGTGGGGAGATCCAGAAATAAGGCCTTGGGTGAATCACATCATGTAGCTGTTGGAGTATAAATATTGATTTGGAGGTGTAATATTAGCTTTCTGTGCCATCTTGAACTGCTAGAAGTTGTCCTTTGTAGCTCAGTTGGTAGAGCATGGTGCTTGTAACGCCAGGGTTGTGGGTTCGATTCCCGAGGACCACCCAAACGTGAAATGTATGCACGCATGACAGTAAGTCGCTTTGGATACAAGTGTCTGCTAAAAGCCGTATATTATTGTCTGGTGTGATGATGGTGAGTTGTGTTCCCCCAGGCGTGGGAGAATCACCTGAGGAGGAACCGCTCCATCGTGGTGGACCTGTTCCATGGCCAGCTCAGGTCACAGGTCAAGTGCAAGACCTGTGGCCACGTCAGTGCACGCTTTGATCCCTTCAACTTCCTCTCTCTCCCTCTGCCCATGGATAACTCCATGCACTTAGAGATCATAGGTGAGCCTTATAAATCAAATCAAATTTGATTGGTCACATACACATATTTAGCAGATGTTATTGCGGGTGTAGCGAAATCCAGTGTATACAGTACTACAGTGCAACATCCAGAAGATATATTCCAAAAGATTCAAAATTAGCATCATATTGGAGATGCGTCTCAGGAAGTCTGTCGCCTGTCCACCCTTTCCTGTACTAGACTCTGAGCTTTACAGTAACAATGGGGTGTTGAATAGAAACCTCATTTGTTCCTGTTGTCTTGTGAGAGAAAGTATATTGTATCCTGTGCCTCTGCAACACTTTGCTCTTTGCTTCCTCTGTCCAGTCATTAAGCTGGATGGGTCATGCCCAGTGCGGTATGGGCTCCGGCTCAATGCGGATGAGAAGTACACAGGCCTGAAGAGACTCCTGAGTGAGCTCTGCTGCCTGAATCCTGAGCAGATCCTCCTGGCTGAAGTCCATGCCTCCAACATCAAGGTAGAGCCATCATCTATCCTCCAGCACTGTACATCCATCCATCACACTGTCAATATCACCGTCTGCACATAGACTAGTGATTGATTGTCTGTCTACCCAATTTTTAGAATTTTCCACTGGACAACCAGAAAGTTTGTCGGGCAGTGAGCGGCTTCCTGTGTGCGTTTGAGATCCCGGTGCCAGGCGCACCCACGTCTGTGGTGTCCACCCCCACACAAACAGATGGTATACCGATTGGTTCTTCTGTTTATCAGCAATGTTTCAGCCTTTAACATAAGCCACTTTTAAAATGTATTCAATCAAAGCCTTTGTCAGAAGGCTCTTTTTTAAAGGCAATCAGTAAGAAGTGATGAAACAGGTTTAGAATACAATGAAGTAGCAAACAAGCACATCTTGGAATGTAAACAAATGCACAGGTTCTATAAAACAGTTGAAAAAGGTAGATACTTTGACACTGGAAAATGTTTGTTTTTCGTGTCATCTCCAGAAGCTCAAGCACTAGCCTATGGGAACGCTACCATGGTAACTGACAGTAACTCTCTGAACCTGGGACTGATCCCCAAGGGCATGCCCAGCACCGTCGTGCCCTGTGGCACAGAAGGCAGCCTTGCTAACGGTCTCCCCAACGGCCACGTGGTGCCCCCTCCGGACAGCCCCTTCACTGGGTACATCATCGCCATCCACAGGAAGATGGTAAGAACTGCAGGATGGGCTAAAGATGGAGAGAAGATTAGCAGTGCATCAAGATAAGTCAGTCTATATAATGCTCACTTCTAAACAATGTGTTATTTGTGTTTGTTTCCTAGATGCGGGCAGAGTTATACTTCCTGTCCAGTCAGAAGAATCGCCCCAGCCTGTTTGGGATGCCGTTGATCGTGCCATGTACAGTCCACACCAGGACCAGGGACCTGTATGATGCTGTGTGGACCCAGGTGTCCCGCCTGGCCAGTCCTTTGCCCCCTCAGGAGGCCAGCAACCATGCCCAGGACTGGTCAGTCTCTCCAGACCACTCTCTGTGTTCTGTCAGGTGGCTTTGCAGTGCTCAGTGTTATCCTAAAGGTACAGGTGTGTGATGCTGATCGGTGTGTATGTGTGTGTTATTGATTTTTTGGGGGTGTCAACACACAGTGATGACAGCATGGGCTACCAGTATCCCTTCACCCTGCGTGTGGTGCAGAAAGATGGCAACTCCTGCGCTTGGTGTCCATGGTACAGGTAATTAAGTCTGTCACACAGTACAACATATCACAATACGGTTGAAGATAGAGAATGTGTTCATTGATACCCTGTGTTGTTGTCCCCCTCAGGTTCTGCAGAGGCTGCACAGTGGAGTGTAACGATGACAGGGCTGCTGTGGGAAATGCCTTCATGACTGTGGACTGGGACCCCACTGCTCTGCACCTCCGCTACCAGACCTCTCAGGAGAGGGTAAGAGAGACAAGAGGCTGAGGATAACAGCAGCAGTGGAACCCTAGGGGTCATATCAATGTATTTATTAAATATCTAATGGAAATACTACATACACTAAGTAATGTGTGTGTCCTGCAGATCGTGGAGGAGCACCCCAGTGTGGAACAGAGTCGCAAGGCCCAGGCAGAGCCCATCAGTCTTGACAGCTGTCTGCAGGCCTTTACCAGTGAGGAAGAGCTGGGAGAGGATGAGCTCTACTACTGCTCCAAGTGCAAGACCCACCGCCTGGCCACCAAGAAACTGGACCTGTGGAGGCTGCCGCCCATCCTGGTCAGACATACAGCTCATTCCCTCTGCATTAACTTCCCAGTCCTCTCCCTATTCATGTTTGTGTCAATAGGCAACAGTTATATGCAAATATAAATGAATAAACCCCCAATCAAAATGTCTGCTATGTCTGAAGTGCAAGATTGCACAGGACCACCCACTCTAAAACTCCTTTATTCTGTCCATTTGAATTGCAGATAGTTCATTTAAAACGGTTCCAGTTTATGAATGGGCGGTGGATCAAATCCCAGAAGATTGTTAGGTTTCCCAGGGAGACGTTTGACCCCAGTGCTTTCCTGACCCCGAGAGATGCAGACCAAAGCCAAGAGAGCTGGAGGGACGAGCTGGGGGAGGAGCTACACGACACCGAGGGAGGAGTGCCAAAGTCTGGGGGTGGAGACACTGTCTGTAACTCTGCCCTGACTCTCAACAATGGGAAAGGTTTGTATAGAGTCTTGACTGGTTTCAGATGTACCTGTCATATCCCACTTATTATTTTAAAGAGGCGTTCTTCTATGAATGTATGTGTCTGTTTGCAGACTCTCTGTGCTCAGGGAGGATGGCCAGCACCCCCCCCAGCAGAGACGTCAGCCCCAACTGCAGCCCTCAGAGTGAGGGCAGGAGGCAGGGCCGTGGGCGGGTGTTTCCCCTGGGAAGCAGGTTCCAGCTGTCCCTCAGTAAGGAGAGCCTGGACAGTGGCAGGGAGAGCCCCATGGAGCTGGAGGCCAGCAGGACTGGGATGGGGAGCAGGGGAGAAGGCCTCAGTGACTCCACCTCTGGTGAGGACACGCCCAGGGAATGTGACAACACAATGTCTGAGCTAGAGAGCAATGGCTACACCGAGGACAGCATGGATCTGGAGGCCTCTCATGGCCAAAGAGACAAAATCTACCTGGATCCCATGTACAACTTGTATGCAATTTCAGTAAGTTTTAAGTGGGTCAAATATTTGTTTTTCTCTGTAAGAATATTACTCTTCTAACCTGAAGACACAGTAGAGCAAAGTGACTGTCTATCTACCATCTGAAATATCCTCTAACCCCCAATCACTTTTGGTTTTGCAGTGCCATTCAGGGATCCTAGGAGGAGGCCACTATGTGACATATGCCAAAAACCCAAATGAAAAGTGGTACTGTTACAACGACAGTAGCTGTAAGGTAAGCGAAGTCCTGAGTTTGTATGCCAAAAACAGAACGTATATCTCTGCTTTGTGATGCAGTGTCCATTGTCATCTGCAACTCAGTTATTTAAAGTTCAGAAGTATAAACAAAGCCTCACTGTGTTTTCTGTGTTCAGGAGTTGCGGTCAGAGGAGATTGATGCAGACTCTGCCTATATCCTGTTCTACGAGCAGCAGGGAGTGGATTATTCTCTGTTCATGCCCAAAACTGACGGCAAAAAGATGGCCGACACAACTAGCATGGACGAGGACTTTGAGTCTGACTATAAGAAGTACTGTGTTCTTCAGTAATGGACTGTCTGTTGATATGTGTCAATGTGTTGCCGGTTCATCGACATGCTTGTGCTAGAAAACCACCTTACTATTTAACTCAGAAATCTCTCAGGTTGAGATGAGCTGAAGCTTAGAAATCATCCCTGGTGGTTAGAAGTGGACAACAAACCATTTTTACACCTCTTCATAGTGGATGGACCTTTTTTCAAGCAATGGTACTCAAGTTATTTCTCGCTAGCGATGTCAAACAAAATGGAGGGTATATTGGTTTGTTTTGGCACCAACATCTTGTTGCAGGGTGACAATGCTTAGGCCCATAGTTCTGGTCCTAGGCCAGATGTGACAAATGTGGGACTGTGTTTTTGTTTGTAAACCAATGTCAGTTGGAATATGCCATTAATGTTTCAACACATTTTGATTGGTACGCTCTGCAGTTAATAATACAATTGATATAGTGAAATTTAACTGAGAAATCTCCTCATTGAATAATACAAAAAATGATTGCAGTAGAAGCAAGTGTTCTCACTACCTCATCATACCCTGCTTTGGACAGTAGTCAAATCCAATGTAACAATTCGAAAATGTCTCTTTAGAAAATTCCCTTTTTTGTTGTCCTCCTCAAATGTACATTATTTAGACTCCAGACCGATAGTCCTGGATTATATTCAGTGTTTCTGAACTGTATGTATTTGCATTGCAATGTACCTTTTGTCTTTTGTGTTTGTTTATCATGTCAGGTCTGCTAAGAACAAAGCCTCACTCTCGCCCATCTGAGAGAATCTTCCTGTAGAATCTGCTTGTACCATTTATGTGTGCAGGTCCATTCTAACAACATATCAGTCTGTGCCATCACAACATTGTGATGTTATTCCATCACATCAACAGCTGTGTCATTACAGTAGTGCCACCAACAGGCTATATCATACTTTATCATTGTGCTCAATTTAACAATTCTTTATGCAAGTCATGAGATCACAACTTCGAAGGGCAGAAGTTGTGGATAATGTTGCATCTCTCTGAATGCCATAGGTATGAGGTATTTGATTTAGGCAGAGTGGGACATTTGACAGTTTATGAGTGGCTATACCTTACCGTTATGCGACAAGTGAATAGGTAGCTTTTCCCTCCGAGCTTTGGAAGACATTGTATTTACTGTAACTATATTGACATACACTGTATGTGAAACATAGGAGTTGAATTGAATCTAATCAGATGGAGAAAAAAAATCAAACTGTTTAGGCCTTGAGCTATAGTATATCCATTACAACACACAGCTATCATTTCTGCTCGGTCTTAAAAGTCTTGTTGAGGTATATGCTTTATTTGGTAAATAAATTACTGATTATAACAGCTGGACAGAAATCTACCCACTCTACCTGGCCTATGATGGTAGAATGATGCGTATTCTGATGTCTAATTTTTAAAAACATTTTTAACCTTAGCCAACTGTTGCGGTGGTCATTTTCAGTATTGTCCCCCTGAAAAGCTTGATGCAGTGAATACTACTGAATGATTTATTTCTTTTGTTTTATGTCTATTTAGTTGTTTTTCTTTGATTTATTATTAATTTAATGTACTTTTGTAAAATGTTTAAATTCAAAGATTATTTTGCACTGACCCTTGAGGAAAAACAAATGTAAATAAATACTTTTGGAAAAAGGATGTATTGGAATATGAACTGTAAATATCTGTCTTGTATATGGAGTGAATTAGTTTATCTGTAACTATTAAAGCAGCCAATGAAATACACAGCCTATCTCCCTTTTCTTGTACAGACTTATTAGGATGGTTAACATGAAAAATTGGATGTAATGTATAATGACTTAATAACAATGTCATAACTAGCCTAAGATAGACAATATTCTCAGAAAGGAGTTAGTAAACCTTAGGGCCACATACATTTGATAAGCAAAGCTCAAAGAACTGTTGTAGAAGAAGCATTCCCTCAAAGGAAACCACAATATAGATACCATGTCATCCCCCTTACAGCCCAGCACTGTGGGTTACGTCAATCTGCTCAGACCTGTAAGTGTTGGTGAACGTAAACATCAGAGCACTGCAGGGAAATGCCTCCCACCTCATAGCCCTCTGACACACACACTTGATAACCACAGAGAGATGACTTATGGAACATGTTTGTAAAAAAAAAAAATCATATTACGGTCATATTTCCAGCTTTCACTCTTAATGTTTAATTTGAAACAGTAAGTGGCCTGTCATAAAGTGTGACAACTGCCATTGTCACCCAAAAGCTCATACTAGTGCATGAATGTAGGATGACTTGAAAGCTAAATTGTTCCAGCAAGACAGTAGTGCTGAAGACTAAGCACCTCCTTCCTGTGAGTGAGGAACTACAGGAAGTGAGGTGAAGAACATATGTATAGAAAAATATTTAACATGAATTTGTACAGGAGGTGTTTGAATATCTATCTGCATGGGCTCTATGGGTGAGATTTCCTCTCTTTCTACATCAGCTTTAACATAACTCTTAAAAAGTAATTATAGCTCTATGCCAACTTGAAATCACATTTTATTGGTCACATACAAATATTTAGCAGATGTTATTGCGGGTGTAGCAAAACGCTTGTGTTCCTAGTGCAGTAGTATCTAACAATTCACAACAATACACAAATCTAAAAGTAAAAGAATGGAATTAAGAAATATATAAATATTAGGACGAGCAATGTCGGAGTGGCATTGACTAAAATACAGTAGAATAGAATACAGTATATACATATGAGATGAGTAAAGCAGTATGTAAACATTATTAAAGTGACTAGTGTTCCATTATTAAAGTGGCCAGTGATTCCATGTCTATGTATATAGGGCAGCAGCCTCTAAGGTTCAGGGTTGAGTAGCCAGCTAGCGATGGCTATTTAACAGTCTGATGGCCTTGAGATAAAAGCAGCAATTACAGCTGCAAGTCTCTTGGCGTATGTCTCTATAAGCTTGGCACATCTAGCCACTGGGATTTTTGCCCATTCTTCAAGGCAAAACTGCTACAGATCCTTCAAGTTGGATGGGTTCCGCTGGTGTACAGCAATCTTTAAGTCATACCACATATTCTCAATTGGATTGAGGTCTGGGTTTTGACTAGGCCATTCCAATTCATTTAAATGTTTCCCCTTAAACCACTCAAGTGTTGCTTTAGCAGTATGCTTAGGGTCATTGTCCTGCTGGAAGGTGAACCTCCGTCCCAGTCTCAAATCTCTGGAAGACAGAAACAGGTTTCCCTCAAGAATTTCCCTGTATTTAGCACCATTCATCATTCCTTCAATTCTGACCAGTTTCCCATCCCTGCCGATGAAAAATATCCCCACAGCATGATGCTGCCACCACCATGCTTCACTGTGGGGATGATGTTCTCGGGTAAATCAGTATTTCTGGGTTTACTGTTACCATTGTCATTTTACTGGCCATTCTGTGGACAATTAAATAAGTTTATAGCTCAACTACTTGTTAACATATCAAACATTTGTACCTTTCCTTAATACAGTATCGGCAACAGATGTGTTTATTCCATACTGGATGCAGTAACATACAGTATAACACTAACTTTCTTCATACCCTATCCAGGTATCGCACTTTGATTCACACCATTCGAGAGCTGCGGGGTGTTGAGGGTATATTGGGCAGAGCTCCTCCATTCAACCCCGCAGCCAGAAGTCCCCTAACCTTGAGGAAGTGTCTGGTGCGTGAGACTAGAAGCCCACTAGAGCTTGTCTCTGTCACTCTGGGACAGGAGTATCAGAACACTAGCTCGGCCACTCCCCTGCACAGGCAGACAACCAAGTCAGCTTCCAGGTCTCTCTGGAGACCACGGCAAACAGTAAACTCACTGTGAAGAAAAAGCTACAGTGTAAAAAAACATTATCATATTTAGCTGTGGAATGTTGTAACAGTGTGGACTTAATTTCCCAGGGTTCCTGCTTCAACACGTCAGGGCTGGGCATACAGCAACTCATCAAAGCAGGGAGGGAAGGGGTGTACTACAAGGCTACAATGACACGTGGCACCAACAAGGGCCACTCCATTGTCACCTGCAAGATGACCAAAGAGGGTAAGGACAAATCCACCAAGCTTACTACTAACATTCATAGTCAATACCAAAAAGACAATGCACTGTTCTCCTCACAATAATACATTTACCAATCACAGAGTAATGCCCTCCAACCCTCATCGTCAGAGGTTTACTGTTGCATGTGGTCACCACACATACTGTACATATTTGACTACAGTCCCCATCAGCACTATGGCACAATTGTTCATACTCCAGGTGGTGCACTGTGACCTAGCCCTGAGGAACATTGTGGTGAACCATTTCCCCAGAGAGGTGAAGCTGGCAGAGTTTGGACTGGCCCAAGACCTGACTCGCATGAGGAGCCGTCGCAGAAGCCACAAAGGAGACCACATGGTGAGGAGGACTGTCTTGGAGTCACCCAGACGTTGTGACCAGAGCATAATTTAACTTGGCTGTTCATTATGGATCATAGCTTTCACCTGGATTTACCTGGTCAGTCTATGTCATGGAAATATGTCTTGCACACTCAGTGAATAATGCATCCTAATAGGCTACAGATCCCCTCAGGTACAAATAATAAGAACATTAACATGACTAGTTCACAGGATTTGGTTCCAATGCAACATTTGCATTGTGTGTGTTTGAAAAGCTGTACATTTCATTAAATAGCCTACAATTGTTCCGTAGTGTTAATGTTAGTCATTTTGATGCACTTTAAATCAAATAGGAAGCTAGGGAGCAATTTATGTGTAGAGTAGGCCAGGACTCTGGGTTTTGGAGATTGAGTTTTGTCCAGTGGGTCATGCAAGGATTAGGGTTACTAAGATTTATGAACTTGAAATGAAAGCAAGTGGTTAAATTCTTAAAGGGCCAGTGCAGTCAAAATTTTGATTTTCCACACTATGAGGTTGGAATAACATTGTGAAAAATATGATAATGCCTTTTTAGTGTAAAAGCTAATTGAAAAGACCTCCTGAAATTTCAGCCTGTTTTGGTGGGATTGAGTTTTGGCCTGCCTGGTGATATCACCAGGAGGTAAATTAGTTAATAGACCAATAAGAAAAAGAGAGTTCCAAACCTCTCTGCCAATAACAGCTAGTTTTCAGTTTTCCCCTCCCCACTCACACCACTCTCAGACAGTCCTAGCATAATTACTGCTTGAGAAATTGCTCTTGCTAAGGGACATAAAAACTCAAGGTGTCATAAAAAAAAATGTCCCCCCCTCCCGAACTTAAACAATATTCTCACATGACCCTCCCCTTGTACTGTAAAATAAATGGAACACCCTCCCCCATCATATAATTAACTCAAAATAATGTTTACGACCACAAATAACAATAACTGTAACGACCCTGTGTTTATAAACGTGGATATCAACTTTGCCACTTCAGCATGCTTTTGTGGCACAGTCGATGCCACACAGGGCTACGGGCCAGAAGGTTGAGGGTTCGCTGACCACCACAGACGAGCTCACTCTCCCTGCCTGTTTCATTACTTCATGATCAGAGCCAGTTGCAGACAATGATCAGCTAGGGGGGAATCAGATTTTCAACATTTTGATGCCATATTTATTATTATATAAATTATATGCAACAAATTTTCCACCAACAGGTTTCTGTGCCAATGTACCACACAAACAATAAACAACACATACCGACTTCGGGTCTTCAATATAATGGTTTGCATTTTCAACACCACAATAAATTGACTATCTCAACTAATTGAAAACACAGCCCTCCCTACCTTAGGCTTACACAGTATCGAAGGCTTAGCTTGACAATCTCCAAATGTCATTCAACTTTTTGGTGTTTTGTAACAGATGTCTCTTTCCATTTATCAAAATGCCACTGGACAGTTTGGAATGATTGATTGATTTTATTTGGCAGTAAAATAAAATACATATACAGTATTAGCAAATAATTGTAAAAGTGACCGGGATTGCACAATAAAGTCGGGGACTTATTTCCATTGTGGTCCCTACATTTGCTACAGCATATGCTATAGTAAAATAAGGACTAAATGCGCGTCTAATTTACACATCTCCATCTGGCTTTCGGGGTTCAACCTATTTTTTATTGTAAAGATGCTGTTTTATTTATTTCAGCTGTATAGTTTTAAAACAGCATATCACTTGAATATTGTTGCTTTAAATCAGTGTGCACGGGAGCACTCTGTCATAGTCTTCCTCTCTCTCCATCAATTCCATTCAAATTGCATCCAAAATAGATAATCCTGTTCAAAATGTATATAATTTATATCCTAGCCTACCTCTTTCAGGTAATAATTTCAGGTAATAAATTACATTCAGTTATTAGCCTTATATTTAGCTAATGCATTATGGGCTATAAATAAGCTTCTAACTTATAGCCTCTGTCTCTTGCACAATACACACCATGTGCTCTGCTGGCTTCTCTCCTTAAAAAATGCTCCTTAGCTCTTGGAGTCCCAGGAAAAGCTAGACTACAATAGCTTGCTTGAAGAATTTCTGCATTTCTTATACTAATAGGCTATTGGAAGAGGGATGCAAGCTCTTGTTTGCTGAATGTTAACTACAGCAGCCAATAGAACTCACGGCTGGGGAGTTTGAAAGAAGAGAGAATGCGGGATGGCGGTAGGCTATAGCAGTTATTTGTTCAGGCCCGTAACCATTCAATCTTAATGCATCTTATTCTAGTCCTATATTATTCAAGCATGTCATTACAATGAAGATCAGGACAACGAAACATTTACTTTAACTGTTGAATGCGAGGACATAATGAAGCAACAATAGAGAAATAGCAGGTATGCAAATACGCACATTCACAACATTAGGGGAAATATTTTGAAAGGTATGCATGCGTCAGCCTATAGCCTAATTGTAACTTTGTAGGCTGCATGTCCTGCACCAGCAACACATGTTCTCTCCCAGGTTCATGGTTTGAAAGAGGTGTGTAATTCCAGGCCATATAATACAGTATAATACAATACATTAATAGAGCACCCACAGTGGAGGTGTCATAATACCCATAAAACCTAGCGGTCAAAACAGGGAAATGATTCCAATCTTTTTTCCACCATTCATTTGTCCGATAGGGGATTTTAGATACCCTTAAAATAAGGGCTGTGTTTCGTGTAGGCTTACCCTGGCGTGACATTTTGATAACCATGTAAATCTCTTTCGGACAAGGTGACTTATCAATATCTTTGGCTCTATTTGCTCTCCGATTTGAAAATGCTAATTAGCATCAAAGTAGACATCATGCAAAACTACAAATCCCTGCAAGTCATCTCTAGCTGACACATTTGCTAACAGGGTATTGTGTCAATTTAAAACTTGCACAAGACAGTTGACAGAATTGTCAATTTAAAGAAATGTAGCCAATGTATTCATTGCTACATTTAGCTAACATTAGATCCTTAATCCAGAGATTTTTACCTTTGCCTCGATTCAGCAGTCTCGTCCAGATCATCATGGCATTTGTAGTTCTTTATGATAGCCACATTAGCAGCTAATTAGCGTTTCATTTATTATGATAATTTTTGTATTATTATTATTATTATTTTTTTTTAAAAATGGGGGGGGGGGGGGGGGTAAATACAGGCGAATATATTGAGAGATTTAGAAGGTTATCAAAGCGTCACACCAGGGTAAGCCTACACGAAACACCACCCTTGTTTTAAGCTTCTAAAATCACCTATGGGAAAAATTAATGGTGGAAAAACGATTGGAACCATTTCCTGTTTGAACGCTAGGTTTTATGGCTCATACTGTGGTACTCTCTATTCAGTCCACACAAAAAGATTAGCTTACTGTGGAGCTTGTTTCATTTACTTACCCAAGAGAGCATAGCTACATCTATGGGCGTTTTTGTTTTTCTGTCTTGCATAATGTATGGTAGCCTATTTTAGGCTTTGTGTTGCACTGTCGGAGCTAGAAGCACAAGCATTTCGCTACACCTGCAATAACATCTGCTAAACACGTGTATGTGACAAATACCATTTGATTTGATTTTGGTAAAAAATTAAATAAAGAGATTATGGCACAATCCTTTGGGCTTTTTTGGGTTTGGGCTCATAAAATGTCTTTAACGTGGGGATTATAAAATACATATATTTAATGTAAGGCTCATCAGGCTCAAGTAGCATCATACTTGAATTTTCATGCTGATCAAAGCTGGTTTAGGGCCAAAGTAGTAGGATGAAGTGGTGGGTTTTGGGGGATAGTGTATAAATGCAGGGTTAGATGGTGGTGTAATATACGTTTTTACATTCCCCTTTTTTTTGGTGACCAAAATGTGCAATCCGCATTCCGACCTGCGAAAGGCAGCAATACGCAACACAGCGTCGCGTCTGCCGGAAAGCTACACGAAGAAGATCTATTTACCACTGAAATAAAGGTGGGAGGAAAACTAAAGAGGAAAATACAATTTAGGGTAATTTACCATGTCATTTAAGTTATTTAGAGAGCGTCGCTGGCACACACGGGTGTGTTTATAATGGGAGAATGATGGTGTTACGAGTCAACTAGCTAACAAACATTAGCTAGCTTGCCAACTCGATTCATTTTGACGGCGCATAAACTATGATACATAATCTAGTTCTAAAGCTAGATAGATAGCTATAAATGTGTGCCACACGTGATTAGATATAAATATTGATAGCCTCCCCCCCTCTCCCCTTTAGCTAGCTAGCAAACTAACGTTAGCTGGCTAAGTTAGCTAACGTCAGCTAGCTACATTCCAGGATACTGTATGTTCTTCTGTTGAACTAGTTAGATGTGCTATCCTCTGTCCGTCATTTTCATTGCATAGTAGCATCTAGCTAATATGCAGTGGGCCTTTACCTAACTAGCCTACAGTTTGTGTTGCATGTATCCTTGGATTCCTTGTGGTAGGAGCTGAAATCACTGCATGACAGTCGTTGCCAGTAGCTAGCTAACGGTTTGCAATCATATGCCTGCTATATTTTTGTAATCAGATGAGGCTCAAATAAGATCTATCTAATGCAGACCATTTAAACACTGATAAATGGAGTTCTCCATACATGTGTGCATGTTGTGGTAAACAAACACCTTTAGGCCTACCTCTGTTTGATTTCCTGTTTCCCCCACATCCCAACAGTGGTTCTCAGCTCTCTGCCATGTCTTTGGAGAAGACCTCCGATCTGGCCAATGAGAACACATGTCTGCCGTCCTCACTGACCCTTGACCTCCGCTCCCCACATAGTGCTCTGCTTGATTCTGACCTGAGCAAGAAGGCCAAAGGCATCTCCTCCACCAAGAAGCGGCACAACTATGCCACATCCACTCCTCTGGACCTGCTGAATGGCACCAAGGTCGGCAATGACATCGATGAGGATGAGTCCAGTCAGCAGCGAGAGGAGGAGAGGGTCCGGAACCAGGAGAACGAGCAGGGCCAGCACGGCACAGGGACCAATGCCAAGTGGCTCAAGGAGGATCAGAATCAACTGCGCAAGGTGGCAGAGAGGCAGCAGGACCAGAATAGAAATTCTGACCAAGATCTGAATCACAACGAGAGCCCAGAAGGAAACCCCAACCAGAACTCTTTAGTGGTGGACCAGCAGGAAGAGGACAGTGAGCAGAACCCATCTTCTAAGACCCTGAGGTCCCTGTGCTCTGACCTGAATGAGCCTCTGCTGATCGAAACCTCCGAGGCCCCTCATGGGAAGGAGGAGAAAGAGGAGGATGGGGATGAGGAAGAGCCTCTACTTCTTCCAACAGGTGGAGAGAGGGACACTGACTCGTCTGAGGCGCAAAGTAGCAGTGAGTCTCGGCGAGATGACAGTAGAGAAGTCAAGGAAACCTGCCTGCTGTTTCATGGCAGAAATGCTGCACCCAGTGATGAGGACTCCAGCTGTATGTCACTGTCTCAGGGCAGCACAGCCAACAGCACGCCAGATGGTGACCCAGGTAACAGGGGCAGCAAGATGTCTTAACAATGGATGGGCTTTGAGTGCAGGGTTGTGTATAAGACTTGTGCTTTGCTTTAGCCATAAACAGGAATTGGGACACAATCAAATTGTTTTCCAGGTTTGTGGAACATTTGTCATCTCTTATTTCCTAGTTATCTCTTTACATTTATCTCACTTGTTTCTCCTTATTGTAAAGAGTCTTACTGGGATCGCAGTGCATTTGAGACTGACACAGACCTGCCTGCAGGGTGGATGCGGGTCAGAGACGAGTCCGGCACCTACTACTGGCACATCCCCACAGGCACCACCCAGTGGGAGCCCCCTTCTCCCCTAGAGGAGGGAGAAGCCCCAGAGAGACCCTCCAGTACCTCCCCTGCCATCACACCCAGTGAGGAGCCACAGGTGAGAGCTAGAGGGCAAAGAAAGTTTAGTTTATTAGGATCCCCATTAGCTACTGCACATGCAGCAGCTACTCTTACTGGTGTCCACATAAAACGTACAAATACATGACAAAGTACAGAACAGTTATAGACAAGAACAACATAAGATATTACATTTTAAAATAAAATAAATAAAATGTTTTGCTAGGTCTTTCTTTGCTGCACCCGACCTTATTACCGGAAAGTAATCAAGATGGGACAAGATCAGAGCCTGAACAAACTAGTACAGTTGATCTTTGTGTCAAAAACGCATATTATCTTTTTATAACAGACATACCTCTCCTCATCTTCACAACAACTTTGTCAATATCACTTGACCATGATAACTGACCATGCAATGTTACTCCTAGGAGTTCAGTTTCTTCAACTTGTTCAATGGTCACACCCTTTATGCACAACTCCAGTTGAGGTTTAGGTCTAAGAGAATGCTTTGAACCAAATGTTCCCGAACCGATTTCACTTGGTTTCTAAATCTAAACTAATTTTACATATTAGTAAAGACACGATTAAATTGAGAATAGTCTGATGGGTGAAAATATGATCACTTGATGCAAGAATGGTGTGTGCAGCCTGAAGCAAGGAACAGAGCGCAAGCTTTTTCTGCGACTTTCTCAAATCATCAATATCCTATAGTCGCATCATGCAGCACATATATGTTTTGATTTCCAAGTCATTCTAAGGTTTGTATCATTCACAACTAAAGTAGCCAAATAACTCTAAATCTAACATATAGAACCTGTTTCAAATGATCACTTTTACGTTCAACATAGCCACTTCGCTCCAGAATGGGAAAAATATTAATTATATTTTATTCAGCGAAGTTCAATTATATTCTTCTTACTATAATGTTATATAAAATAATGTCACAGGACTTAAGCATATATTGTCTGCTAAATGAACTAGCCTATGACATGGTACATGGCTAGATAACACAGAGTAGGCCAAATCATATTCTGTTCTTCTGAAATACATTTTCTTCATATCATTATGTTTATTTAGACCTGCCTAAAATAAATAATGGATTTATTGTGATTGTGTATATTAAATTGACTTATTATACTTTTTTATTAGATTCAAAGGCGCGCATCAGCAGCTTGTATGTGGCTTGTATGCGTGGAGTCCTGGAGATGCTAAACGTGTTTATGTTAATTAACGGTCAATTATCGTGAGACCGGCAGTCTTTTGCATGACAATAACCAGCTGACAAAATGTAACGACCGCCACAGCCCTAGCTCCAACTACAGTATCTAATATTACATTTATTTTAGCCAATCATCAGTCATCTCAGTCAGTGCAGTACAAGTTGAGTGCCCTTTCCTAATGCATGCTGAAAGTCAGTCATTAACTTGTTCTTTGAAAAATAGCATTGTATTTGTTCAAACACAAATTTCTCCATCAGTTTACTAAGAACATGCAGCAAACTGATTGGGCGGCTGTTAGAGCCAGCAAAGGGTGCTTTACTATTTTTAGGTAGTGGAATTACTTTAGCTTCCTTCCACGTATGTGGACACACAGTTCTTTTAGGTTTTGGCCTGCCTGTGTCAATTAGGGTGCACAGTCACTGTATTTCCATTTAAGCCCCCACTGCTAGTGCTAACTGATTTAGTTTCCTACTTTTAATTGAACCTTGTCTCCTTTTTATATTTTCAGTTGACGTGGAGTAGTCTCACCCAGTCCCGCCCCAACAGGTTTAATGACGAGGAGTTCTGGAAGGTGAGTGCCAAATGTACTTGAAACAAGCCTAACATCAATGCAGTTTGCAAACCTTTTTTCAAAGAGATTTTCAATGTTTAGGTGTCAACTGCTTATTTTCTATCTCAAATGTAGAAATGTGTCTTCTTACTGTTGTTGTTATGTCTTCAGGAGGAAGATGCGATGGCTGATCAGACCCTGAAGGATTTTGAAGGAGCCACATTGCGTTATGCCTCTATCAATCTCAGGTGAGTTGTCCGCCCCCCCCCCCCCCCCCCCCCCTCCCCCAAGTAGAGTGTCTTATTATATGCTTGTATTGTCTGATTCCTTTCACGTCCAGCTGTTCACAGTCTGAAGGAAAGGAGAAGATGCATTCACTCATCAATGACCTGGACGCTAAGGTATGTACTCTCACTCAGACAAATAGACATAACCAATCATTCCACTCCCATCCCACACACATTTTTCTCTCTTTCAACACTCAACATGCTCTTAATCACTCTCTGTCTCCTTGTGTCTCTCAATAGGTTTTTGCGGTGCGGTCTCTGGGCTGGGTGGAGATATCAGAGGAGGAGATGGCTCCAGGGAAGAGCAGCGTAGCTGTCAACAACTGCATCAGACAGCTCTCCTACCACAAACACAACCTGCATGACACGGCTGGGATCTGGGGAGAGGTCAGAGAATGGCTTGTGTGTGGGAATATGACTGAATGACGTGTGTGTGTGTGGGAATATTACCTGGATAGTGTTGGTAGAACAATGTTAAGAGGAATGTTATGTAATGTGTTTCCATACAGGGAAAAGACATGCTCCTTGTTCTGGAGAATGAGACATTGAACCTGATTGATCCGTTGGGCCAGACTCTGCTGCACACCCAGCCTATCGTCAGCATCCGAGTGTGGGGAGTGGGCCGGGACAACGGCAGGTCAGTCCCCTGCTACTCTAACTACACTGAACAAAATATAAACGCAACGTAAAGTCCCATGTTTCATGAGCTGAAATAAAAGATCCCAAAAACTTTCCATGCGCACTAAAAGCTGATTTCTCTCAAATTTTGTTCATAAATTTGTTTACGTCCCTGTTTGTGAGCATTTCTCCTTTGCCAAAATAATACATCCACCTGACAGATGTGGCATATCAAGAAGCTGATTAAATGGCATGATCATTACACAGGTGCACCTTGTGCTGGGGTTGTGCAGTTTTGTCACGTGCAATTTGCATGCTGACTGCAGGAATGTCCACCAGAGCTGTTGCCATAGAATTGAATGTTCATTTCTCTACCATAAGCTGCCTCCAAGGTCATTTTAGAGAATTTAGCTGTACGTCCAACCGGCCTCACAACCGCAGACCACGTGTATGGCGTTGTGTGGGCGAGCGGTTTGCTGATGTTTACGTTGTGAACAGAGTGCCCCGTGGTGGTGGGGTTATGTTATGGGCAGGCATAAGCTACGGACAACGAACACAATTGCATTTAGTCGATGGCAATTTGAATGCACAGAGATACCGTAAAGAGATCCTGAGGCCCATTGTCGTGCCATTCATCCGCTGCCATCACCTCATGTTTCAGCATGATAATACATGGCCCCATGTCGCAAGGATCTGTACACAATTCCTGGAAGCTGTTAAATGTCCCAGTTCTTCCATGGCCTGCATACTCACCAGACATGTCACCCATTGAGCACGTTTGGGATGTTCTGGATCAACGTGTACGACAGCGTGTTCCAGTTCCGCCAACATCCAGCAACATTGCACAGCCATTGAAGAGGAGTGGGAAAACATTCCACAGGCCACAATCAACAGCCTGATTTAACTCTATGCGAAGGAGATGTGTTGCGCTGCATGAAGCAAATGGTGGTCACACCGGATATTGACTTGTTTTCTGATCAACGCCCCTACCTTTTTTTTAAAGGTATCTGTGACCAACAGATGCATATCTGTATTCCCAGTCATGTGAAATCCATAGATTAGGGCCTAATGAATTTATTTCAATTGCCTGATTTCCTTATATGAACTGTAACTCAGTGCAATCTTTGAAATTGTTGCATGTTGCGTTTTATATTTTAAGTATACATTTCTTTATATTTTCTTCATATTTGAAAACTAGAAATATCTGTTTGTGCCAGTTTGCTATAGGCAATGTTTCTTATTTTGGTTTTATTTATCTGGCTTTTAATTTAAACTCCTGTTGCCTTACTTTGTGAACCCTGCTTTTTCTGTTGAATTGATTGATTTGGGGTTTTCTCTCTAACCGGCTGCGCTTCGGCACACAGGGAGAGGTAGTGTATTGTTATTGTCGTATCCACCATCTTCCGTCATGTCACGTAGAATAGATCATAGTCGTGGTTGTCATAGTTAGCATATTGATTCCACACCCCCATCCCATAATGTTCAATGTTTCTCACTCACACCCATAACTTTCTGATCAGTTTCACTTTGTAAGTTTTACATATAGACTAGAATAATGTAGACTTTTAGCTATTAATAATATTGTGACTACAGTAAGTGTTCTCAGTCCTAATTGTTAGTACATTTGTTCATTGTTGTATTCGTGAAAGCTTACACTATTAGGTTGATAGTTCTCTTGAGTAGATCCTGATATTATCTAAATTTATTTCAGCATTGTCCATTTCATCAGCCTCATTTGTCATGATCAGCCTTTATAACAGCCTCTTTCTCTAGTGACACCTCTTTGTTTGTGTGTGTTTGTGCTAACTTTAGGGACTTTGCCTACGTCGCGAGAGACAAACTGACTCATGTTCTGAAGTGCCATGTGTTCAGATGTGACACACCTGCTAAGAACATTGCCACGAGCATGCATGACATCTGCTCTAAGGTAAGCCCATCTGCTTTGGTGCACTGCACCATACTGTGGTCTTCAGATTGAGCCTGAGTGAAATCTCCCTTTTTTTTACATAACTTCGAGACTGTGGTTCAGGGGTTGTTTGTCTTTTTTTATTTTTTATGTTGAATCGGTCTTTCCTGTCATTCCTTTTCTGTAGATAATGGCCCAGAGGAAATCATCCAAGTCCTCTCTGAACAGACTCAACATAGACCCCTCTAAACTGGTGGACATTCCTTTCCAGGGTAAAACACTGGCACTTACTGTATGACTTAGGCTTGGCGGTATACCATACAGTGCCTTAGGAAGTATTCAGACCCCTTGACTTTTTCCACATTTTGTAAGGTTACAGCCTTATTCTAAAATTGATTAAATTGTTTTTTCCCCCTCATCAATCTACACACAATACCCCATAATGACAAAGCAAAAACTGGTTTTTAGTTTTTTTTGCTAATTTATTAAAAATAAGAAACGGAAATATCAAATGTACATAAGTATTAAGACCCTTTACTCAGTACTTTCTTGAAGCACCTTTTGGCAGCGATTACAGCCTCGAGTCTTCTTGGGTATGACGCTACAAACTTGGCACACCTACATTTGGGGAGTTTCTCCCATTCTTCTCTGCAGATCCTCTCAAGCTCTGTCAGGTTGGATGGGGAGTGTTGCTGCACAGCTATTTTCAGGTCTCTCCAGAGATGTTAGATCGGGTTCAAGTCCTGGCTCTGGCTGGGCCACTCTAGGACATTCAGAGACTTGTCCCGAAGCCACTTCTGCGTTGTCTTGGCTGTGTGTTTAGGGTCGTTGTCCTGATCTCTCTGTACTTTACTCCATTAATCTTTGCCTCGATCCTGACTAGTCTCCCAGTCCCTACTTCTGAAAAATATCACCACAGCATGATGCTGCCACCACCATGCTTCACCGTAGGGATGGTGCCAGGTTTCCTCCAAATGTGACGCTTGGCATTCAGGCCAAAGAGTTCAATCTTGGTTTCATCAGACCAGAGATTCTTGTTTCTCATGGTCTGAGAGTCCTTTAGGTGCCTTTTCGCAAACTCCAAGTGGGCTGTCATGTGCCTTTTACTGAGGAGTGGCTTCCGTCTGGGCACTCTATCATAAAGGCCTAATTGGTGGAGTGCTGCAGAGATGGTTGTCCTTCTGGAAGGTTCTCCCATCTCCACAGAGGAACTCTAGAGTTCTGTCAGAGTGATCATCGGGTTCTTGGTCACCTCCCTGACCAAGGCCCTTCTCCCCCGATTGCGCAGTTTGGCCGGGTGGTCAGCTCTAGGAAGAGTCTTGGTGGTTCCAAACTTCTTCCATTTTAAGAATGATGGAGGCCACTGTGTTCTTGGGGACCTTCAATGCTGCAGAAATGTTTTGGTACCCTTCCCCAGATCTGTGCCTCTACACAATCCAGTCTCGGAGCTCTACGGACAATTCCTTCGCCCTCATGGCTTGGTTTTTGCTCTGACATGCACTGTCAACTGTGGGACCTTTATGTAGACAGTTGTGTGCCTTTCCAAATCATGTCCAATCAATTGAATTTACCACAGGTGGACTCCAATCAAGTTGTAGAAACATCTCAAGAATGATCAATGGAAACAGGATGCACCTGAGCTCAATTTCATGTCTCATAGCAAAGGTTCTGAATACTTATGTAAATAAGGTTATTTTTTTAATACATTTTCAAAAATTTCTAAACCTGTTTTCATTATGGGGTATTGTGTGTAGATTGCTGAGGAAATTGTTTTATTTAACCTATTTTAGAATAAGGCTGAATACTTTCCCAAGGCACTGTATGTACCGTATACCGGGGTATTTGTGAGTTAGTCCCCTGTCACATGTCACGTGGTGTTTGTTTACAAGCACAGAACAACGAGAGACTGGAGCCTTGTGAGTCAATGACTGTTGTGCAGCATGTGCCAGGTGGTCTAATTACATTATGGAATTCAATTAAAATCAAATCAAATTGTATTTGCCACATGCAACAGGTGTAGACCTTACAGTGAAATGCTTACTTACAAGCCCTTAACCAACAATGCAGTTTTAAGAAAAAAAAGTGTTAAGTAAAAAATAAAAATAATTAAAGAGCAGCAGTAAAATAAAATAACAGTAGGGAGGCTGTATACAGGGGGTACTGGTACAGAGTTAATGTGCAGGGGCACCAGTTAGTTGAGGTAATATGTATATGTGGGTAGAGTTAAAGTGACTATGTATAGATAATAAACTGAGTAGCAGCAGTGTAAAAGAGGGGGTGGGGGGGACAATGCAAAATAGTCCGGGTAGCCATGATTAGCTGTTCAGGAGTCTTATGGCTTGGGGGTAGAAGCTGTTAAGAACCCTTTTGTACCTAGACTTGGCGCTCCGATACCGCTTGCTGTGCGGTAGCAGAGAGAACAGTCTATGACTAGGGTGGCTGGAGTCTTTGACAATTTTTAGGGCCTTCCTCTGACACCACCTGGTAGAGGTCCTGGATGGCAGGAAGCTTGGCCCCAGTGATGTACTGGGCCGTACGCACTACCCTCTGTAGTGCCTTGCGGTCGGAGGCCGAGCAGTTGCCATACCAGGCGGTGATGCAACCAGTCAGGAACTCTCGATGGTGCAGCTGTAGAACTTTTTGAGGATCTGAGGACCCATGCTGAATCTTTTCAGTCTCTTGTGGGGGAATAGGCTAAATGTTTGCCAGCTAGATATCTTATACCTATTAAGTTAACTGTCTAAAATGTGCTAAATGCTCTGCAGTCGTGCATTTGGTTTGCTAATTTAGTAGCTAGTTAGCTATGTAGATAAGTGGTTAGCTTCTTCCAAAATCAAGCATTCGCTTGGTAATAGCAGACAATCTCCTCCTGGATCAAGAGCCTTGCTGTCTAATATTTATTCTGTGCGTGAAGCAAACTTTGAGTAGCATTTTTGAGTTACTGGTATAGTTTAGGTCAGACGCTATAAAATGTTTGCGGTGTGCTTTCTTAGCATTTAGTTACCATTCTCTATGGGATTTTACATGTACTTGTTAGCATTGCTAACCTTCGGATTACTGAGTATCAGTGGGGTTTGAAAACAGCGCCCCTTGTGTTCAGTGCCGGTATTACAAATATCCCAGTATGGCACAAGTCGGTATGACAATCTGGATACTCCCAGAGCCTAGTATGACTATATACTTACTGAATAATCTGAAACCAAATGGATCTATGGGCACCTTCAGGTCCTTTGTATGGTTTTAGCAGGTCACAGTGGTTTTCTGTCTCTCCTCTCCCTTCAGAATTCCCTGCACCAAAGAATGAGCTAGTCCAGTGCTTCCAGGTACGTTACCTGGGTACCGTGCCGGTGGCTAAACCCGTAGGTAAGGAACGCTTTGGTAAGGAATGCTTTTTCTTCTCTTTCCTAGCTGTTGTGATGGTGTATATTGTGGTGTATTGAATTACATTTCAGGTAAACTTGTGTGTGTTTCTCAGTCACTGCCTGTATTTAACCTTCCATTTGTCCTCCCGTATGTTGGTACTGCATTTCAATTAATGCTGAATTTCCACTAAGTTGGGGTTCACTTATTGAATGTCTCTCAAAGTATTGCATGTATTCTTCTACTAATTTCTCCTACATATTGTGATACTGATTTCTTACTGTGTGAAGTCTCGACTGCTATGAGCTATTCTCGTTAGGGATATTGAGCTATTAGCTAACTCTTGGTTTTCTGTGAAGTATGAACTAACACAATTCCTGTAATTCCTTCCCTTTTCCTGACATTCTCAGGTATTGAGTGTACTCAGATGTGCAGCTAACCTGAGTGGTTGTGTATGTCCTATCCAGGTATGGACCTAGTCAACGTAGCCCTAGACACAGCAATGAATTCCAAAGAGAAGGATGAGTGGACGCCAGTTACTGTGAATGTGGCTTCAGCCACACTTACAATAGTCACAGCTGAGGTGAGCACACACACACGTACACGCACAATCTCAAAAATACGTTTTTTAAATGTCTTTCCAATTTGAAGGTCTGAGGTTGTTTAAATTGCTATGGGAATAGTCTGACCCAAGGTGTTCTGTTGTGCTCCCTGCAGACAGAGGAAGTTCTGTTTGAGTGCCGCGTGCGGTTCCTGTCCTTCATGGGCGTGGGGAAGGACATCCACACTTTTGCCTTCATCATGGCCGAGGGCCACGGGGACTTCATCTGCCACATGTTCTGGTGTGAGCCCAACGCTGCCAGCCTCAGTGAGGCTGTGCAGGCCGCCTGCATGGTGAGTGCAATGTTTCTGTCAGCCAGCAATTGACAGCTTTTGGCCGATACAAATGCACATTGTCCAGCAGAAAATATCCTGATGAAAATAAATGTCCTCTATAAATCACATTGGCTATGCACAGAGGTTGGTTCAGGTTGTCTTTCAATCACATAATCTCTCTATTCCGCCTGTCTGTATTGAGTTCACACTGTCACTAGCAAACTTTCAACATTGTATCAGCTGGTGCTGCCCCGCAAGTTACCCATGTCAGTGAGTTTGTGACAGCTCTATGCACACAGGGGAGAAGTGTTCCGCTATTTTATGATCTTTTGCTAGACATCCCTATAAGAGACTGTACAGAAATGTCATTCAAGTCCTGCATGGTGTATTTAGATGAAGTGATTTTGCTTTCCTACGCTCATGCTAGTCTAATGCTTGGTTGTGTAGTTGGCTTAAAAATGCCAAAAACAAAGTTGGCTAACTAGCTACGGTACCAAGGCTGGAAGCACAGACAAGTGGAAAAATAAATTGACACTGAAACAGAGGATATTGATAAGCCAGATGGACAGAGAGATGCGCATTGTGCAAGGAGACAATGTTCACTTGGTAGGCTATCATTCCTCCTTGCATAATTATTGTAGTCACTTCCATGTATTGTCAATGAATCGGCAGTGAGCACTCCTAAAAATGCAAATGGTTTCTATTTCATATGGCAACTTTTTCAGAAACATTAGGTGAGTGGTTCTTCTAAATGGGAGGAGTTTGCAGGGATTGGACCGTTTTACTACGTGCCGATAGTAAACATACACAGCCTTGTTGCACCAAATATTTTGAGTCCAAGTATATGTTTCTATTCAGATTTAGTGCTAATGTTGTGTGACTTTTGACAGCTGCGCTACCAGAAGTGTCTTGACGCCAGGCCCCCCAGTACCAGCTCCTGCCTGCCAGGGCCGCCGGCCGACTCCGTGGCACGTCGTGTGGGCTCCAGTGTCAAGAAGGGGGTTCAGAGCCTGCTGGGCAGCTTCAAGAGGTCTGGGTCCCAGACGCCCTGAGAGGTGCCAACCAACTAACCCACTCCACTCCTCCCCCAGGCCCAACCCACCATGCCAGCCATGGCACTCCTCACTCCTCCACCCTGAGGTGTTATGGTATAACCTGCTTCCCTCTCAACACCTGTCATCTCTTTTAGATGTGATGTCAGAGGCATGGGCAGTGTGGGCTGCCTGTGGGGTTGGGGTATCAGTAAGCCTAGCACTGCCCACAGCTGCTCCATGCTTTTCACTTCCTTCACTTCATCCTTGGTTGGACAAGTAGGCCATGTTTTCCTTCCCTTGTTTGTTTAATCTGTCAGTTATTAAGAGGAAACTGCTTGACTCTTGGATAGAGGTTTGAATGACAGCAATAGTTGGTTAAACTTGGTCTAGTTTACCAACACTAATTATGCTTAGGAAAACAGTACTGTTCTGTAACATTGTCTCTGCTATTTGATTTGCAGAACAAATATAGTATATTATTTGTGAAGATAGAAATGGAAGATGTGCAATTGAATTGTGAATGTTGTTGAACTCATGCCATTAGCTTGTGGCACTCATGTTGGTTTTCATTTAAAAATAGATTTTAAAGAAATTATTGAGAAACAAAATGGCATGAGAAGTCTGTATAATATGCATCATGGTGGATGTCTGAGTGTCAGAGGTGGAAGAACTGAGACTTGCTAGCTACCAATATAATATTCTGCAAATAAAATGCTAATCTTTTGGGGCATTAAAATCTATAGTTTGTACAGTACATTTGTTATAATACCTTTTGTTCTAAATAGCTTAGCATCCCCTCTTCCATCTGATGGAGCTGGTAAATCAGAAAGTGCATTATCTTTATTTTATAGCTATATTTTTTATTTGTATGTGTATTGCAAATTGCAGTAAAACGTGTAGTTCAGCTCCTCAAATCTGAAATGGAGATAGCATACTTTTAGAGCATGGCTCGAGTTTTAACGAAACCTCTCAAATCTCAAAGAAAGCGTAGGCTATCTCTTACTGCACTCCAACTGTATACCAAGTTGAGGGTACTGTATGTTGGAGTCAAGGAATATGTAAACTTTGTGATGCCAAAGCGAGAAGAATCATGTGTTTTATGGTGTTCCTCTTCAGATCTATTGTGTGGAAATGGACCTGAAGCTGATTGTACCATCCTTTTGTAATGTTCAGGTAACCAAAAAATGTTTAATCTGTTTAACCACGTTTTTCTTTTGTATACGTTTTTACACAAACGTGTCAAGTGTTATACATTTTTCCCTTTACTCCATTCTCTAAGCATGTTTAGTGTTTATTTTTGTTACGTCTAAGCAGAGTGACAGAGCTACTGATGGCTACCCCATTGTCCCTGCACACTGATAACATCTGCCAACTTTTGTCTCCTAATCAATTGGGTCTAAGGGCAGATGGAACGTTAGTGTCGTTGCGATAGACATGACACTGACATGACACCAACTTCTGTCAGTACCACACACTGTTCATCTAACACCCACCTTTTTTTTAATTTACATTTTTGTAACTCATGACTGCCCTCGGGTGGGTTTTATAATACTCTTGTTCATGAGCAGTGTGTCTGACAACACTATAGGAGAGCTAAGAAGCCTGACACATTCAGTCTTCAGAAGGCATTTTGTTATGCAAAGATTGTAATATGGAAAGTGTTGCTTACCCACATTTGTCTGTGAAAGAGACAGACTGAAAGTATGTGTTGGAGTTTCCTCCTTGCGGTATGTGTAAGTCATATGAACACTTCACTGCATATGAATGCGACATCTTCTAAAATACTTTATCCCATAGTTGACTGACTAGAGTTTCCCTTTTTGCTTTTGAATGCAGTTGGTTCAAAATAAGTTATACTTTTTATGAAATTATTATATTTTTCTAAGTGTGTATAATATACTTTATCTGTGAGGTAGAGATTCCTTTTTAGCCTCTGTTCTTACAACTGTGGTCACTGATGCAGCAGTGTTTCCAAATCTGTACCGCCAGGCTATAGTTATCCTCCTCCTCCCTCTCTCTGATCTGTTTTGGACAGCAATTTGACCAGACAATAATGGGTTTGGCTAATGCTTTGCTTCAGTTGCTCTGTCACTAACTTTTGACTCATAAAAACATAACTGAGTATGTACAATTTTGTTTTTTTGTTTTACACATTGATAACTACATTTTGTTTTGTTTTTTGTGTCAGTGTGATTTCCCTCGCTCCTATAATTGTTACTCCTTACTCTACACACTATGTACTCCACTACTTACTGTAAGTGTCAGACATTGGTTGCCTTATACTAACAGAGCTTCCTTGTGTTATAATTTATTTTTAATGCACACGTTGTAATATTGTGCCATGCTTTGAGGCTTTGCTTCTGGAGGCCTCAAGAATACTTTCAAGAAATGTTGTGGGTTGTGGCTATAGATATGACTGTACATAAACTCAAATCTTTTTCCTCCCATTTCAATAGTGACTGTCACTACACATCTCATCCACTTATTTCTCACTCGTGTCTTTTCAGTTTTGCTGTTTTCACCCATACAGTACATTCGGAAAGTATTCAGACCCCTTCACTATTTCCCTTGTTACGTCACAGCATTATTCTAAAATTGATTAAATATTTTTTCCCCCTCATCAATCTACACACAATACCCCATAATGACAAAGCGAAAACAGGTTTTTAGAAATTGACAATTTATTAAAAATAAAAAATGGAAATATCACATTAACATAAGTATTCAGACCCTTTACTCAGTACTTTGTTGAAGCACCTTTGGCAGCGATTACAGCCTCGAGTCATCTTGGGTATGACGTTACAAGCTTGGCACACCTGTATTTGGGGAGTTTCTCCCATTCTCTGCAGATCCTCTCAAGCTTTGTATATATTCCCTCCAGTGTAGATGTCAACCTATGGGAGCACATTGCATGGCTGATCCATAGATGGTATATAAGGACTGACCTCAGACTCTCAGAACAGGGGAGCTCAGAGGTCTTCTATGTGTTTTAGCTCTGTAAGGACAAATATAGGACACGATGGGAAGTCTGAGTATACGTTTAACCTACCCATTGGATTCTCTATTTAGATGCCTTTTTGTGTATGCTCGAGATATTTAGGTTGCTTTGGTGACATTAAAGGATAAATATTTGTCTTATTAAGGATTAGTCATAACAATAAAAAATGAGTAATAAATGCTTTTCTTTCATTTAAGATCAATATTATTGAATGTTAAGGATGAGAAACAGACTGATCCAAATGAACTGCAACACTAATATGATAGGGATGTGATCATGTCCTCTGTCATAAGCCATGAAAAATATATGTACGTTCTCTTGACAAACCTGAACTTTTGTCTGCCTTTTTGTTTGTTTGCATAATGTGTTCAAAGAGTATTAAGAAAACCTTGAAGTGATAGCTTTTGTTCATACTGTATGTTAGCCACATGAGAGTATGTGAGCATTTTTTAAAAATGTTTTTGTTTCCTTTAATATCCACTGATGACTGTATTGTAAGAATTTCTATTTTATTTTATTATATGTAAAGAATGTAAATGAGATGTTATGTGCATTCGGAAAGTATTCAGACCCCTTGACTTTTTCCACATTTTGTTACGTTACAGCCTTATTCTAAAATTGATTAAATTGTTTGTTTCCCCCTCATCAATCTACACACAATACCCCATAATGACAAAGCGAAAACAGCTTTTTAGAAATGTTTGCTAATTTATTAAAAATAAAAAACTGAAATATCACATTTACATAAGTATTCAGACCCTTTATCAGTACTTTGTTGAAGCACCTTTTGGTAGCGATTACAGCCTTGAGTCTTCTTGGGTATGACGCTACAAGCTTGGCACACCTGTATTTGGGGAGTTTCTCACATTCTTCTCTGCAGATCCTCTCAAGCGCTGTCAGGTTGGACAGTCTGAGATCCTGAGCGCTCTGGTGCTCTGTTTAACGTTCCCTTGATCCTGACTAGTCTCCCAGTCCCTGCCGCTGAAAAACATCCCTACAGCATAATGCCGCCACCACCATGCTTCACCGTAGGGATGGTGCCAGGTTTCTTCCAGATGTGATGCTTGGCATTCAGGCCAAAGAGTTCAATCTTGGTTTTATCAGACCAGAGGATCTTGTTTCTCATGGTCTGAGAGTCTTTAGGTACCTTTTGGCACTTTCCAAGCGGGCTGTCATGTGCCTTTTATTGAGGAGTGGCTTCCGTCTGGCCACTCTACCATAAAGGCCTGATAGGTGGAGTGCTGCAGAGATGGTTGTCCTTCTGGAAGGTTCTTCCATCTCCACAGAGGAACTCTGGAGCTCTGTCAGAGTGACCATCGGGTTCTTGGTCACCTCCCTGACCAAAGCCCTTCTCCCCCGATTGCTCAGTTTGGCCGAGTCTTGGTTGTTCCAAACTTCTTCCATTTAAGAATGATTGAGGCCACTGTGTTCTTTGGGATCTTCAATGCTGCAGAAATGTTTTGGTACCCTTCCTCAGATCTGTGGTTTGACACAATCCTGTCTCTGAGCTCTACGGACAATTCCTTAGACCTGATGGATTGGTTTTTGCTCTGACATGCACTGTCAACTGTGGGACCTTTTATATAGACAGTTGTGTGCCTTTCGAAATCATGTCCAATCAATTTAATTTACCACAGGTGGACTCCAAACAAGTTGTAGAAACATCTCAAGGATTTTCAATGGAAACAGGATGCACTTGAGAATAATAATAATAATAATAATATGCCATTTAGCAGACGCTTTTATCCAAAGCGACTTAGTCATGCGTGCATACATATTTTTTTTGTTTATGGGTGGTCCCGGGGATCGAACCCACTACCTTGGCGTTACAAGCGTCGTGCTCTACCAGCTGAGCTACAGAGGACCACCACCAGAATAAGGCTGTAACATAACAAAATGTGGAAAAAGTCAAGGGGTCTGAATACTTTCCGAAGGCACTGTACATGTATATTAAAATCAGCTGTCACAGGACAAAATAAAAAGTGGAGCTGTTCTGTTTTATGGGCCGTTGTGTCTGCTG